CAGCATCAAAGGTATTTCTTAAAGCGCATCTACGCGTATTTTCAAGTGCACCTAAATTATTACTCGAATCGCTGCCACTTTTAAGCGCACCTAATGAAGTTCTTCTAATTATTCGAAGCGCACCTTTCAATTGAACTACAGAATAAGTTGTGGTAGCGCACCTAAAAGGTGCGTTTGGTTCGATGAATAACCTCCAACATAGGTACATCAGTGCAAAATAAAACTTAAAAAATATAACTGTAAGAAAAGTCTTACATTTATTGAATATTTTTACCACCTAAGTACCATCTTTTATCTATTAAGGGTCCTTATTAAAAGTGGCCACTTCTGCCATGAAAACGGCTTAGCGACGAGGAGAGAACTTTAAGTAATTGCAAATAACTAGCCAACCAAAAGATCAGTTAGGAAACTTCGCAGATTTTTTAATTTGGTCCTTTTTAGAAGGTATAAATAAAATAATTTTCATCCGTTAATAAATTTGACTTACGTTGGAGCTTTACATCAAAGTTTATAAAAGGCTAATGTTTGAAAACATCTAGGTACTTAAACCGGAAAGTACGCGTTTAAAGCAGCATAAACCAGGGATATTAAAATAAAATCCTTTCAACATTTTATATGTTTCTAAAGTATAATTTATCGTATCTTAGTAACGAAGGTAAATTTCCTTCCTTTGATTTTAATTGGCATTTCAATACCTTGACTTGACGACAAAATTTGAGAAGGCCGATTTTCATAACAAACTGTTTTAATAACTACCGATAGTTCAAAGATGTCAGTTATTCCCAAAAGTAAAGCAAAGCAAAATTATCTCAAAGGATCACAGTGATTGATCGGAGCCGGCGAATTTTCACTCGCCAATATTGTTTTAAGAATTTTGACCTTTGAGAATTGCTACCTTTCTACGAAATTTATGGAGGTAAGGGATTGCAGAGGATCAGTCACGCTAAGATTCATTTAACAGGTGTGTCCTATGTTGGGCATATCGCTTCAGGATTGTAAAAGGGTTCGCCACCACACCGACACTGAGACCCACAGTCAAATCATACTTTTTTTTTATACACAACGAGGAACCTGTATCTCTCCTGATGGTAAGTGATGATCAGGCCGAAGGTGGAAGCGAGCTTCACCCGGAATCCTCAACTATAGATTATGTGCTTTCAATATGATTTTTCTACATAGAGTTTATAGAAATTTTCTTTTGACGCCACTGGGGGTCGTTAAACCGTGATCGCTTGCTGCGATACGTCTTCAAGTTACATTATCAAGAGACACTGGTCTCGAAGTGTTACAAATGGTCCTATTTTCTTACATTACAATAAATCCACAAGCAAAAAAGATAAGAATTATCCAGAGGTTAAAAAGGATAGGTTAAAAGGTTACGATAATTATCTTTCTGGCTTGATTTATTTGCTAAAACTAAGTAGTTTAATCTATTGCGTAGAGTCTTTGCCTTTTAATGTTTTATTTTACGATTTCGTTCATTTTCCTAAATGGATTACACTCCATTAGAATGAATTTACATTTCTGATATACGACGTTTCGCAAAACAATGTGTAATAAATATTTATGTTCATAAATACAATCCAGAAGACGCTGTTTGGGAGCTTACAAGTGGTGCAATTCCTTTAGCCAAATCGTGTGTACGAAAAACCATAAAAACGGTTTGATACGATAACAAACTTTGCTTACTTTTGGTCAGTATTAAGTATGTTTGGTCTTTTGTCTATTATAATAAAATTTGAAATTAATTGGCACATGGTTAATGGGTTTTTTGAGTTCCCAAGTGTGATTTTTCTCTTGATAAAACCAATCTATACGATTAGAGGTAATTGCTTGTATTTGATACAATTATTGTTTCGTATTAGTTGTAGGTAGGATGAATAAAAAAGAAAATGATTTTTCAAAGCGTTTGATGTTGTTGTATTTGAATTGGGTACCTACTTAACCCATTATAGACTGAGTTTTCTTAAAGTGTCAGATTTTTGTTTTTTTGAAATATGTTCATAATTATGGTCTACATAATGCTATACAAGCATTAAAAAAATGACCCGACCTGTAATCTAGAAAAAAAATGCTGGTACCATATGGTACCGCTAGCCTCTTACCGTGTCAGTCGATTAAAACATAACTTTATCATGAACTTTATAAAAATAGGGTAAATTATGTATTTTATTATTATTATTATATGTATTAATAAACAAGCAAATAACAGAAGTGATATTAAATGTAGAAAAAACTGTATATTGGGTAAGGAATATTCATTTTTATCTTTGAATATTCAAAAATTTGGAATGGAGCTTGGCATTGCACGCTGCCCTTAGCCCCACGTAACATTTCCTATACTCTAATATTGTTCGAGAGTTGCAATTATCTCGAGTACGTTCTATAAATATCTGCTTCGTCTTGGGACCTTCATCGTCCTCCAAAATTGCCAATGTTTCGTGAAAGTTACATCTAAAATAAATAAAAACCCATGGTTTTGTAAAGTATAGGAAACTATTTTACTTTATCTTCCTGTATACCTTATGTACCATTGAATATATCGCATGCTTCCCAATAAATACAGTAAAAACTAAAAATCATAAAATAATTAAAAAGACACGGTAAGCGGCTAGCGGTACCGTACGGTACCAGTAATTTTGACATACAGTATTTCCCATTATTATTACCTATCGACGTAATTTTAAATCATTTCACAATAAGAGCACTTATGGAGAATACAAGATTGTAACAAAATCAGTATTTCACTATCACACAAAAAAAATATGATCACTTACTTGAATGGCGCGTCAATTTTTAAGAGAAAATTTTGATGCGCTCACTTCAATCATTAATTACACACAACTGAAAAGAATAACTGTCAATATTTATTCCCAGAAGCATAGACCATATCTATTGGCTACGATTTGCATCAATCAGAGCACTGCATCTTTTCATGTATTAATGTATAGAGCCAAATTAAAACACACAAAAAAATGGTACCATATGGGACCGCTAGTCTATAATGGGTTAATTTCCATTCTAAGAAGTAGGATATAATAATAACACAGTTCTTGATTTACATTAAGATAGCTACAGATGTTTTCCAGGAATTTTGGATGGAACGGAAAGTTCCTATAATGTATTTTTCACGTTAACTCCTCCGTTTGAAATACATTTTATTTGTATTTGAGAAAATAGATGAAAAAGTGTGCTAGATCTACGAAACCTTAATATTATTACACACACTATATTATCTTTTAGATATAGTAAAAACAAGTATTATCTTCGAAAGACCATACATACCTTGACAAACATAAACTACTGTTTTTTCAGTACCTACTTAGTATTAGGTAGGTACTTAGGTACTTCAATTTGCAATCAACGATAAGTTTCCTTAAATCAATACATAGACGAGATAAGTAGCTCGGTGTTAATGTTTGTAACATTGTCAGTTTCTATTTTGATTCTGGATTATTATAAAAAAAATATCCTACCCGTTCGTCCCACCAAGACTGGTGGTGGGACGAATGGGAATAAAAATTAAATATTTTATTAAATCCCGTTCGTCCCACTGGTGGGACAAAGCTTGGTGGGACGAACGGGAATAATCCTTTGATTCTTGTAGTATTTTCACAGGTTCAGTTTTACCTTAATTCCTGAGCGCATCCATCTTCCTCAGTCCCGTCGACGACCAGGCACGCTTGCCAGGTTTGCTGACAATCCATCCATCACCCTGCTGATTGATCACCAGGAAATAATCCGATAAACTTTCCAGCATATTTAGAGACCTGTTTTTTTAAGTTGATTTTTTTTTTATTTACTTACTTAACATTTCGCTCTGGCAGGTGGTTACAGAGATGGTGGTTTGTAAATCTATCACTAGGGTGGAGACCTGGAATAATAACACGGTCTCACGAACACAAAAAATGATAAGGACACAATATCTAGTTGTGTAGTTACAAGAATTTGACTTGTATGGGCGAATAGTTTGATTTCTTCTAGCAATAATGATGAGCGCCTTCTGAAGCTCAAAATTAGAGAAAAATTGACGCGCAACTTGTTGCTTTCGAATAAAACTAAATGTGTAGGATCGGCAAATGTGCCGTAATTTTATAATCTACTATCGGCCGCCCACGACTGAATTCGTACAAATTCGTATGCGTGGATCCCGTTTTACCCCCTTAGGGGTTGAATTTTGCAAAATACCGTCTTAGTGAGCACCCACGCTACGTTCTAAAAAGAACCTTCATACAAAATTTGAAACTCCTAGCACTTGTAGTTTCAGAGATTTCATGATGAGTAAGTCAGTCAGTGACCTTTCGCTACTTATATGTTTAACGTAATACCATATTATTCTGTGGTACCTAAGTAATACGTTAGGTAACAAATACTATAAAGAAGATTCAAGCTATACTTTGGTAGGTATCTTAGGTTGTAAAAGATGCTATATTTAATTATATTGTAATGTACTGTACGTACGAGTACCTACATGATCGAATTCATGATAATAGTATTTTTGTCACCTCAAACGTAACTTTTCCAAGTAAATATCCGATATTGAAATAAGAATATTATTTAGGTGGATATCGGGGATTTGGTTCCTAGAAGCTTTTGCTTCGTTTGTTTGAAAAACAATATTTTGATAGTAGATTGGCTTCTTTCTTTGTCTTATTTTGGATAGTAATAGTGTAACTCGTTTCTAGGAACTTATCAAAGGAAGGACTGTCCATTGTTGATTGATTTTCGACCATTGTGCTTTGACCTTAGGTACTGAGAAAAGTGGTATATCAGATGACCGATTGGTATTGGTCAGTTCCACGATGGAATATACCTAGAGTTGAGTTTTATATTCCTGTTTGGGTTTGGGCAAATAACCTTGCCATTATGGGAATGTTCCATGAAAATCATTGCCATGTGGACTTCGTGTAGCCATTCAACTTGGTTAGCCACTTCATCTCTATCATTAAGTACCTAGTTGTATGTATTCATATTCATTTATTCACTTCGTAATGTTACAGAAGTTCCAACAATAAAGAGTAGGGAACAAGATGTTCAAAATGTTAAATTTTTCAAACAATAAAATTAGGAATTTCATCCATCCATAAAATTAAAGCCTATCTACATCTGATTGCAAAGGTAAGGTAAATAATGTAAAGACAATTGAAATAGTACTACAGTACTGGTACTATCAGTTTCAATAGGTTTGAAATATGTCAATGTATAATGTGGTGGAAACTAAAACAAAGGATGAGGGTTCTATGAAATACCAATTGGTTTATTTAGGTATTAAGAATATTAAATCCAAAACTATTCGTTTCTTTTAAGGCCCACTATTTCTAATTTATCCGTGAAAGCTTTCGTTTGTTGTATTCCTCTGGAAGAGGTCAGACCTCAGGCGCAAACCCTCTTTAAGCCCGACGTCCCGAGATTGCTACCTCCGTTTGACGTCGCCTTTATGCTTTTGTTATTTATTTAGGCATTCGTCAAAAGAAAATAATAGACCCTTTTCAGAAGACCTAAATGTTGGCATATTTTTTATAGTTATTTGGGTAGTCTTAGGCTAGTTGCCTAAAAAAATTTTTTTAGTCCGTAATGTTTAATATCAAAAAATATTGGACACATTTTATTTGTCAATCTAACAAATAATTACCTAGTTATGGTGCGTTGAAGTTGCGCACGACGTCACAACGTGCGGCATTTTTAAGCAAGCTTTGACGTCACGGGCCTCTTCTTTGAACTTTGGGGCGCTTTATCTCTTTAAATTTTCATTACTTTGAAAAAGTGAAAAATACGTGTAGAGTATTTTTTGATAAGTTAACTGACGGAAACTCTTGCTTTTTGACCCAGCCAACATCCCCATTGTAACGAAAATGTCGTTATTAGTAGTGGGTACGATAAAAATTACGAATAATACAACCCGGTCGTGTTAATTGCTTACCTGGTAGCCGTGACGTCATATCGACGCTCTGGTACGGACGGGGCGAATGCGGGGAGGTGTGCGGGTGAGTGCGAGGGAGAGTCGCATTCCAGCGAGGTGCGCAGTGAACTCAAACGGATTGTACATAGTATGATAAGTATTTTCCGTTAGACGTGTGATACCGGCACAGTAGAATAGGATAGAACGGATGGTGTAAGAGGCGACTAAGGTAGAAATAATACCGTGCGATTATCCTTCGGCGGGGGGCACATTGCTCGTAGAGACGATGGCCGTTGGGGCAGAAAAGTTCTCAAGTGGCGACTGCGGGCTGGAAGACGTAGCGTGGGCAAGCCTCCTACTAGGTGGACCGAAGATCCGGTGAAGGTCGCGGGAAGAACCTGGATGCGGGCACAGCGCAGGACCGTTCATTATGGAAAACCTTGGGGGAGGCCTTTGTCCAGTAGTGGACGTCATTTGGCTGAAACGACGACGACGACGACGATTATCCTTCAGGCGTCTACAACTCGTTTGGCATGGGAGGTGTTGGCCAAACCTCCCTTTGCCTCTGGTAAATTAGAGAGTAGTGGAGTGGAGTCTAAATGACCTGATGGTGATGACAACGGGTGCCAATTTATTTATTTATTTATAGGTACAACAACAGAATACTATCTCAAACATTTTTTATAGAATAACATTAGTTTTTTTGCATTCAAATTGAATTCCTATAAATGTTGCACACAACGTTTACATAGAATAGATACAATTAAAAGAAAGGGGTATCGATGCAGAGATGTTACAATTTAACTATCATTATGTACTTACATCAATGTTAGACTACAAAGTTAGGCTATTTATAACCTTATGATATGAATATAAACTTTGATGAAATATATATCCAAGCTTTTTACGTTTTTATTATAAATTCTGCACATCCGAAACAGTGGATCATTGAAATTAATTGATATTTGTCAGGTTAACATTGACTGTATGGTTTCCCATAAAAGTTTTAATAAGGTCTTGTTTAAAACTTATTGGTAGGTATTAATGTCACAATATTATAGCAATCCCATTACAAAATTACCCAACAAACAGTAGTAACGAGCATTGGGCGTGTGAGAAGCGGGCGCCATCTTGCGAATCGGTCCCCGAGTTGGTAATGGACGTGTTTATAACTTCTTCCCGCCCTCGTACCACGGAACGAAAACATACCCTTTGGCGATATCGCTTGACGCAAACTTTATGCAGGAAAAACTTAGTAAGGTTACGATAATATTGTTGTATTCGCAAGATCATGGTAGAACTAATAATGGATTCATAAAAGTAAAATATACCTTTTAAAATAAAACGCTATTTTGTTGTAAACACCGTAGTCACTACTAAAACATTCTAATCGTTAATTGGACCCAATCAACAAGTTTAGTATCAAAGCTTATGATATGCCATAGACTTCTAATATGCGAAAGTAACTCTAAAGGCAAAAGTTTCTGTCATTATACCGCTGAACCAATTTTGATGAAGTTTGATCAGGAATGAGACCTAGAATAAGAAATGATTGGATGAAAGCGTGTACGCAGTAAGCGCGTAGCGCAGTATAAAAGTTTTGAAACTTCTTGTTTCAAAACGCAAAAACAGAAGCGTTATTTTTTGACAGACCAAAATCCAAGCAAGTACACCTAAAATAGTTCTTATTTTTTAACCCCTAGTGGGAATGCTTGTGTTACGATTGGGTTCCACAATAGTCCAGCGGCAACGGTGTTCGCACCCGCGTGCCTTCGATTCAGCCAGTCTATAACACGGTTTTGCTATAGTCGTCTCAATTATTAAGTTGACATTCCTTTGTTTCAGCCATGGACAAGCAGTTCTCTCGTCACCCTCAGAACGGCACAGCGAGGGCTGGCCAGCCGTACGCGCTGTCGTGCGAGGTGGCGTCTTCGCCCGCCGCCACCGTCTCCTGGCTGAGGGACGGCCAGAGCTTGTCTCATGATGACAGGTAACTTTCTTCTGTATACTTACTAGCTGGGTTAACTATCCTCAGTTATGACAAGTACTCTAAAAACATTACTCTCTTTTTAGGGTAGCGTATTCAGGGTGTTAGCTATCTCTATATCAAATTTCATCAAAATCTGTCCAGCCGTTCGAAATGGTGGGACTTTTACCTAAAGAAAAATGGCATTTAAAATAGGCCTAATAACCTACTTATTCGCAGTTACGGCATTATCCTTAATTTTTGGACATCCTGTACAATAGAAATAGATATAAAAAAATATCCCTAATTTCCTGCAGAACAGAATAGTTACCTGAGAGATTTCTTGCACGGCTTCTTCGCAGTATCTACTCGTACTGGCAGATTTTTTTTTTCTGAAGCAGTGGTAATGTTTAAGTTGTGGCCGTACGGCCGCCTCTTGGTCGCGCAACACTGGCCACTAAGAAAATGTATTTTTTTTCGAAGACCAATATTGTTACTCTTTTGTTTTTTCTCCTGCTCGACTCTCAATTTCCCATAGCTAGTTACTTAATTTTTTATTAAATTCACGTTAAATCCAAATATTGTAAAAAATAAATTACTTTATGATTTTAGGGATTAAGTCCACATTATATTTTATTAATTTACCTGTCTTGTTTCAGATACATTTTCCTGAACAACCAGCTGCTTTTCACACAAATAAGAAAAGAAGATGCTGGTGTGTACAAGTATGTACCCATTCCTTATTAAAATAATATTATTATATTTTAGTCCAACATTTTGACTAGGCTTTCATTGATAAAAAAGTGCTGGTGGCATTTTCGTTTCACATTCTATACTGTAATTCCATATTTCGTCCCTCATTTTTGATATACAATCGACAGCACATCTCTACATTTTTGTTGTAAAATAACATTTATTACAATTTAATAAAGATTTGTACCGTAGTCTGTATATTTAAGCCGTGTTTACGTCGCTGACACCACCGCGTGACATCGTGCAAACAAACGGATCGGTTACGTAGCTCAATTAACGGCGAATTTGAGCTTTCTGTTTATTGAAAGACCACACAGTAGCGGCCATTTTCCCATGAATCTGAAACCAGTGAAAATTTTCCTACTATAAATTCCAATACGCACCTCGCTTGATATGAATTCGTGAAAACGGACCCGAATTCACATACCTACATACAATGCAAAAATTTGTCAATGAAAAATTTTTTTTTGGGACTTTTATTATGTAACCATACCTTTATTCATATTATTAAAAAAAGTATTTAACTACTTACGTGGTGGCTGCGACACTGGCCGCTAAGAAAAAACTAAATTCCTTTTCGACGACCGATATCGATGCTCTCTTGTTTTTTCTTCTCGCTCGACCCTCTATTTTTCACGTTACATACATTTTCCAAGTGTAGATTTTGTAAATAATTTATTGTACGCTATATTTATGTTCTTACCGTATATCGAGTATTAAATTACATCTACGAAAGCCCGAAGACACGAAACACACAACATTTAGGCCCAACGTTTACATTTAGCCACTACATAATTAATAGTAGGTACAAATAAAACACATTACAAAATTTTCTTACACCCGTATTCACAAACGATTGCTTAAGTGAAGCAGCAAATCGAACGCATAGCGTTGTATAGAGCTCTGTGACTGGTTAGTACGTCACCCTGTGCGTCCACGCGCATTTTGAGACCTCATAGGAATGTTTGTGAATACGGTTAGGAGTTAATATAATTATTTATTAATATTCATTCTTCGTTAACAGATGTGTAGCAACAAATACGTACCTGAACAAGAACCGCATCAGCGACTCCGCGTGGCTGAGGGTGGAAGACCCAGTGGATGAGGAGCCGGCTCTACTGGACATCCAGGGTGGAGTCAACATCACAGCGGCGAGGCACAGTCGAGTCCGGCTGCTGTGTCTTGTCACTGGCTGGCCTAGACCTAAGGTATCCTTACTTCTAATTTTCTTCTTCTTGTCACCAAACCTACACAGTGTCAGCCCAAAACTCCGCTACAAGAGTGTCGTTGTCAGTAGCCTTCATTAAATCTTCCTGCGTGCAGTTGTTTGGGCGCGCAGGGCACGATATCAAGTGCTTCATCTACTTTCCTGAGTAGGTGGCTTAAAGAGGAGACCCAGTGGGCTTAGGTGAACGACTAGGTTACTTCTGTCCTAAGTCTTACTTCTCAACCTTAACTGGTTGTTACATGAAAGCCAAACTGTAGATCCTGGAAATACATGAACAAGAGGTGGGATCAGTCCCGCTGCCCTAAGTCTCATGGATACTACTGGTATATTGCATCAGCTCTTGTTTTTTAATTTGCCAGATGTTGACCATCGTATCGTCGGCCGTTTGGTGTAGTGGTTCGAAACGGACTACTATTCCGGAGGTAGCGGGTTCGATTCCCGCACAGTACAAACACATTTGTGTGCATGAACATATTTGTTTGTATTAGACTGGGTGTTTTCTATATATAATAAGTATGTATTTACAAAAAAAAAGTATTTAAGTATGTTTATATCCGTTGTCTAGTACCCATAGTACAAGCTTTGCTTAGTTTGGGACTAGAAGCGCAGTGTAAAATGTCTAAGGATATTTATTTATTATTTATTTATTTATTAAGTATTACAACTTTTAGAACTTCTATTGGACATTAGGTACACCGGTTCTTTCGGATTTTTCACTTAGAGCCTCTCTTACAAAAGGAATCTTCTATCTTAAAGTCTTTCTGTCTATACTTAAAGACATTCTAAAATGGATAGACTTCTTCAAACTGGTTTGTCCTTCAGATAACATGGGAAATAACGGACTCCACGGGGCGGACGGCCACCATGGAGTACACGGAGGAGATCGTGGACCTCACCAGCCTGGAGCTGGACCTGGAAGGCGTCTACAAGTGCTCCGTGGACGGATTCACACACGTTTATAAGGTATGTTCCTTCACTATCACTACATAGTTGTAGCCGTAGTTGTCGGCCGTTTGGTGTAGTGGTTCAGAACGGACTACTATGCCGAAAGGTCCCGGGTTCGATTCCCGGCCGGGCAGAAATTGAAATGATGAATTTTAATTTCTGTGACGGGTGTGGGTGTTACTATGTATCATATCTATGTATTAAAAAACAAGTATGTAAGTAGTAGATCCGTTAAGAGCGTTGTAGCAAAAAGTTGGCGTTCGAATTTTAGGTTTTTATTGCTTGACGTCGCGTAGTGAGTGCGCAACCTGCATTTATCTGTACAATTTCAACGCTGCGTCGACTAAACGATCTTAATCCGTAGTTGTATCGTACCTAAGACAGTACATCATACATAATAATAAAGAAATAATGTATAATTTACCTATTTGATTTTTTCTCACATCAGACTTTTAGTAAATCCCGCGACAAGTTTTTAATCTTTAAATTGAGTAAAGTAATAAGTTGATGGGTTTGAAAGAATTTATGTTTTATTTTATTCTTTTTACAGCATCAAAAGCTTGTTTATGAAAAATATTTACTATTTAAATTTTACTTTTGACTTTTTAGTTTTTATGATGCGGGATGGAAAAATTAAAATTTATTCTGATTTTGTGACGTTTCCGCACATAAATATGGATAGGTTAAATAAATAGAATGAAATGTATGAAAACGAGCGTGCCATTTTTTAAACGTTATCTATAATATCTGTGTCCATCAAAGAGCTCGTAACTAAACATCGTAAGCGCCATTCACATTATTATCTAAAAGTTAATAATAAATTTTAGTTTTTGTAAATCTAAACAAGTCAGGAAATCAAAGAGGTAAATACTGATATCATTGTGATTTTATAGAATTTATTTATTATAAACCAAATAAAATAAATAAATAAAGATTTTTATCCATAGAACAAAATTTATCTAATTGTGTTTTTAAACAGTTATCCCATTAGGTACCTACACATGCGTTCTGTAATACAAACCCATCAAAAACAATACTTGTCAAAAAACCAAGTCTCACTACTCAGTTGTTCTACGGTAAAAAGTTGTGAGATCCATGTAATACCAAGTCCAGTCCAGGAAATCATTAACGTTTTACATAAATATATTGACTTGGCCATCGCATGAAAACACGTGTAAATTAAATTATTTAGTGCGAAATGAAACGAAATTTTGCATGCCNTGATTAAATTATTCGTTGTTTGAATACACTTCAGTCATTTTTGTATTATTTATAACGTGATTTGTGATTGATGGATTTCTCAGTTTTTTACAAAAGTGTCAAAAAGACATTTTAAAGACAATAGATTGCAATAGATATTTAAAAATACATTAAAAAGTAAAAAAGTCTCCATCGCCATCGCTAACAAGTGATGTGCATGCGTTACGATAGTTAGTGATGTGTTTAACAGATTGTCGATAAAATAAAATATTCAAAATTAAAAATCAAAATTTTCGGGCATTACTTTTTAACGGATTTGTGTTCCGTATCAGTAATAGGTATAGTTACATCTGTAAATATGGCAAGAATGCAAAGTAACACCCTGTATACTTTCACTAGTAAAATAGTGTAAATTACACAGACCAAGAAACTAAACGGTCATTAACAACCTAAAATTATGTTACTACAATAAGCTTTATATGAGTATGCTTTTGTCCGCATTAAGGAGTGTGTCAATATTTTTGATATCTAATAATGTTGGATATAGAAAAAGAAATCATCATACTAATATTCGCACTCAGTGAGATTCGAACCCGCAACTCTAGGTGGTATATCGAACAGCGACACAAGGGGACCGTCAAAATCTGCTAATAAATAATATTAAATCTTCGCCTTGTCACCAATGCCTCGAAAATAAAAAAGTGAATAATTAAACAGCCATAAAAATCAAATTGTGTCGCATAAAAATTCGGAGACATTTAAAATTTTCATGAAACCTAAACGGCTGGGATAATTGTCTATCGATACAAATCTCCCTTTCATTTTTAAAAATCGCTTCACCTCAATTTTTTTGCATAAAATATTCAAACTCCCCCGGAATGATTCCCGGAATTTAAAGTATCAAAACGTATTCTGTTTTCCCTTAAACTTTTATTACTTAACTATTAATTTTATGGGATCAAAGAAAACGGAATCTATAAAAAGATTCAGACTGCATAGTATTTTTTGTATTTAAATAATGGATGTTGTTGTTAAGTCGCGTAATCGTATCCTTAAAGAGTAGACCTATGTAGGTATTTTAATCGATGGATTCGAATATAAAAAAAAATTCAAAAATAATAGCGTATCTAATATTAATAATCCCAGCAAGAACTTATCAGTGAAAATGGTTCAATATTACCTAAGAGTGCCAGGTTCTGAATATTTAACTGTTGGGTTATAGTGTAACGTGGTTTAAAATTCAGTGTGTCAAAAATAAGAACACGAGGACACACACTCGGGAATTATTTCTTAAGAAATCCGTGACCGTTTTTGGAGAGGCAAAGCCGTGGGGAAAGCCTAGCATCCATTAAGCAGGATGATCATTCAGCCCGCGTCCGTCGCACTGTCTTTTCCAGCATTCAGGCTGGTACAGCGGGGTTACTCCGAAAAACGTTGTTCAAAGTTTAGAATGCATCCCTCTCACGCAAAGCGAGATTCAGCATGAGCGACAGTGACAGACAGACCCGACTAAGTAAAAAGCTTTTCAGAATAGTACTGGAGTTTCGAGCACAGAAAAGGACAAACTACGCTTATTTCACTGTCATAAGGTTTAGATTTCAATGACTGTACAGCAAAGAGTTCTGATTTGCATCACAAAGCCGACGTCTGCGCCGCCTTGTTTGCGATTTTAACTGAAGAGGTTACGGGTGTTTTGCATAGTCTGTGATTTCTGCTGGTCTTTGAAGATCATAATATTATTTTTATCTAAATATTTAAAACCTTTTTGAAAGATTGAAAAAGCTAACTTAATGCCGTATTAAATTCTTTCACAGTCAGCTTATAATTCCGAAAGATCATGAAATATTCCTTGATTATTTGAGTTACTATTAAGAGCGTTGTAGCAAAAAGTTGACGTTCGAATTTTAGGTTTTTATTGCTTGACGTCGCGTAGTGAGTGCGCAAACTGCATTTATCTGTACAATTTCAACGCTGCGTCGACTAAACGATCTTAATCCGTAGTTGTATCGTACCTAAGACAGTACATCATACATAATAATAAAGAAATAATATATAATTTACCTATTTGATTTTTTCTCAGATTAGACTTTTAGCAAAATCAAGTTACGTAGGTAATTAATGTATTTTTTACACTAGTAAATCCCGCGACAAGTTTTTAATCTTTAAATTGAGTAAAGTAATAAGTTGATGGGTTTGAAAGAATTTATGTTTTATTTTATTATTTTTACAACATCAAAAGCTTGATTATGAACTTTTGACTGTTTAGTTTTTATGATGCGTAAGTTTCCGCACATAAATATGGATAGGTTAAATAAATAGAATGAAATGTATGAAAACGAGCGTGCCATTTTTTAAACGTTATCTATAATATCTGTGTCCATCAAAGAGCTCGTAACTAAACATCGTAAGCGCCATTCAAATTATTATCTAAAAGTTAATAATAAATATTTAGTTTTTGTAAATCTAAACAAGTCAGGAAATCAAAGAGGTAAATACTGATATCATTGTGATTTTATAGAATTTATTATTATAAACCACGGTCGTATAATGCTAAAAAATCAGAGGTAACTTTAAGATTTTTATCCATAGAGCAAAATTTATCTAATCGTGTTTTTAAACAGTTATCCCATTAGGTACACATGCGTTCTGTAATACAAACCCATCAAAAACAATACTTGTCAAAAAACCAAGTCTCACTACTCAGTTGTTCTACGGTAAAAAGTTGTGAGATCCATGTAATACCAAGTCCAGTCCAGGAAATCATTAACGTTTTACATAAATATATTGACTTGGCCATCGCATGAAAACACGTGTAAATTAAATTATTTAGTGCGAAATGAAACGAAATTTTGCATGCCTGTGTAGACATGCAAAATTTCAGCTCAATGGGAAAACGGGAAGTAAGTAAATTTTAAGTTGCAAGATTTTACAACTCCAGATGTCAAAGAAAATAAAAGCTTGTAGATAGCTTTACAAAGAAAAGAAAGATTTATGAAGAAAATAAAAAGTACTGTCTACGATACATTTGTTAGGCCGTGTTGCACCGTCTTACTTTAACATTGACATCAAAATTTTGGATGTCAAAAATCTGTCTAACATAAAACACCGGTTATTGTCAGTTAGGGTCAAAGTTAGGTGGTGCATCTCAGCCTTAGTGTATTTTAATTAAATTTAATACAAATAAGGATGACGAAAATAATCGATAAGTGATCTCACTCGAATATTTCTTATAGTAGGTATACAAGATGTCGAACAAATGGTTACTTACTGAAAAAGTGCTTCATGAGACCTAGCAAACGGCATCAATAATATGTTTAAGAACGAACTGAATCTATTCAAAAAACCTATATTTCCAGCTTTCATACATTTAATACAGTTACAAACAAACACGAAATCAATGGTTTCTGAGAATTCTGAGTGCCTTAATGCCGTCCCCTTTATCTGTTTATTTAGTATTTATTAATTAGTATCTCTTGATGATATTGTAGCAAATTAAACCTAAAATCATGTTTTCCGTAAATAATTTAAATAAGAATGCAATTTACGAGTTTGTTGTTTGATTATTGTACAGTGTGAGTCACGTTAAAGTGTACATATGAAAATAGATGAAACTAGACCTATTTTTATCGACAAAAAAGAGGTCAAAAATTTTTTGAGATTTTTTTTTAATTTTTTATACAATTTTTTTTCTTCCAATTACGTATTGTAAAGAAAACGTAATAACTTTTAAACTAAGCGGTTTATCCTGATAAAATAAAAACAGTGATAATGCTAAATAACAGGCGATACTAAAAAAATACATAAAATACACAAAAATTGCCAACAAATAATAAAAAATGATACTTTTTGAAAAAAATCTGCTTAAAAACTCGTGTTTTTTTGGTTATTTGATAAATTTCTCCAAAAAATGCCCCTATAACAGGTGGTTTTTATTGTTTTGTATTATTCTCTATCGTATTACCTTTGTAAAACCAAANTCTAATGAATACATTCTATCTTCTTACTTAGAAATAAATTTGTTGTAATATTAGTTCAAAGTTGTGCCTTCGCGAGTTACCTGGAAATCGGGCTTTCGAAATTCGCTGTTTTCGTAGGCAAAAATCCAATTTGAACGAGATTTTGTCAATAGACATTCCGTAAAAACGTATGATAATTACGATGATATAAGTCAAAAGAAGCTATAACAATAAATTATATGACTAAAATCATTTCGAAATCTGCCAAATTCTCGATTTCTGCATGAAAAATGTGACAACGCTCTTAAGCTAGCACCCATAACACAAGCATTAACTTGCTTAATTTGGGTCTATCTGGCGCTGTGTGAAATTGTCCAAAGATTTATTATTTTTAATTTTATAGTATAAAACAAAGTCGCTTACCGCTGTCTGTCCTTGTATGCTTAGATCTTTAAAAGTACGCAATGGATTTTGATGCGTTTTTTATATAGATAGAGTGATTTATCATCATCATCATCATCAACAGCCCTTTACAGCCAATAATGGACTTTGAGCCTCCTCCACTACAGTGAAGGGTTTTGCCATAATCTCCACGCTTGGCAGGCGGGTTAGAGATCGCAGTTTAAAAGATTGATGTTTTTCAGAGAGTGATTCAAAAGGAACATTTATAATGTATACTTACTTGTAGAATCCATGCGAAGCTGGGGTGGGTCGCTAGTTTGCTATAATACTAAGCACTTACTCTCTTGCTTTCTTACTGTCTTTTTGATCAATGACAACTTCTTTGGCACTCTGAGCGTGAACAAAGCATGGACATTGTTTAGGATACTAAATTGTAATTGTACATTATTACGTCATAGTTCTGTGATAGATTTCTATGTTCGTATATAATACCAAATATGAGGGCACATAAAGATACAAATTGCACCATTGTAATTAGTATTATGATAGACAGAATAAATAATATGAATCCCAAGTACGATTCCGAACTTAGCATTTGCGGTTGATTAGCTTAATCAACCGCAAATACTAAAGCAAAAGGCGTACTAATTCTACGCCTTCCTTGTCCGTTTTCGGTGTTTACTAAGTTAGACATTCCCTTTCTGAATGATAAGAAAATTACTCGAAAATCACAGCCTGCGAAGATGAAAATCCGTGGTAAAGTTCTTACAATTTAATAGTAGGTATCCTAAAAGAAGCCTACAGACATAAATATTCTTAGAAACAGGCTAGATAAAAAGATAATGTTCAAAATAATTCCCCAGATTAAAGTTACTGTGTACCCAATATCAAAGTTTCATAATATAATATTATTATATTCGCCGAGTTTCTTGGGTACACATAAATTACCGGTTGCCAGTGGAGGCCTAAGAAAAAGAGTTGGCGGCATATGAAATATTTAGCTGTGTATAATATTGTACATAATAATATAATACTCACAAACAACTAATCGAAAGGCACAACTTTAATGCGGCACTTCTACAAAAGCTGTCAACTTTACGTTAGGGGTCTAAAATGGGAACTACAGGCGATTGTAGTGAGATTTTTACTCAGATTGAATTCAACCGATTCTGTGGTCTAGTCTCTCAGATCCCGAGGTCCAGGGTTAGAATCCCAGTGGGGTCAACATTTTCTGCTCGGTTTGGTTAGAAGTCCGCCTGACTAACTACCACCATCTTACCAAGTTCATAGCATTGTTGTGTTTCGGCAGTTCGAGGTAAGATAGCCAGTTTTTCTGTGGTCGAGGATTTCGGGTGAACTGAAGTAACGCTTCCATTCGGCCTGATAATCAATTCCATCAAGTGAAATGCAGACTTACACCCGTATTCACAAACGATGCTTGCAGCAAATGGTACGCATAGCGTTGAATAGAGCTCCGTGATTGGTTCGTGTGTGACCTTGTGCGTCCACGCGCACTGTGAGACCTCATAGTAATTTTGTGAATACGGGCGTAAGACCTATCTGTTGTTATAGTCCGCGACTGTGTGACGGGCGGCAGCAGTGAGTGTGCGAGCGCAACAGCAATATAATTACGCGTGAGCGATAAGGATGGGTAGCTTGGGGTCATTGGACAAAATTCTACGTGCTCCGCGACCAGACTTTAGATAAAATAAAAAAAAAACTGTTAGATACCCGCTTAGTTCTAAGACTTGTACCTACCCCAGACCCGAGGCGCAAAGCACAAAACTTTTTGTTCATAAACGGTAATATCGTATTATGTTAAATAACTCGAACACGTGTATCCTTTGAGTTTAACGCCCCAGCGTTTTGTAGGAATACCCCTTTGTGAAGACAGTAGAATAAATACGCTAAATGTCCCTAACCTGTCAGGATTTAAGCACTGAAAATAAAAACAAAGTGCCTTGACCCTTGGAAAGATTTTACCTTTTTGAGCATATTTTGTCGTATTCACGAAGATAGTACACAAGACTGGTCACTGGTGGATTGAGAAAATAAAATACTGAAAAATTAAAAAAGGATTAGAGATTGTGTTTTTATTCTTCAGTCACACGAATTTAACGTCCTTTGTGCTTGAAGATGTTATTTTATTTTTAATCAAACTTATGAGAAAAACATCTCGGCACGATACTGAGTGAATACCGTTTCGGTGACACGCACATTATTTTATTTTGAGTTTTGTTTGATTATCTTGATGTTATTTTGTGACTTTTGATATAAATAACTTATTAACAGTAACATTTTTGTTTCAACAATCGTCTTCCTCCGGGAGCAGCATAATTAACACTAACATTAACTAATTAGAATTAACATATTTATTATTCTGCATCGCCTCTCTGCTAATTAACTTTCGTAATTTTATTAACTTTTAAGGTACGTGACTTCTGTTGGGCAAAAGGCAAAAGTTTCTGTGTTGCGATAAAAATAGAATAATTTGTTAATTATTTTTCGTTTTATGTAACTGTGCCCGGAATTCCATGCGCGTGAAAAAGTAGCCACATGTTAGGTTACATTTTAAGATCCAAATTACTAAAATTGCGATACGCGATTATACAATAACATGCGGGTAGAATTAGATGATTCTACCCCACGTAAGGATTGATTATTCGATGCTACAGTCAGCCAGTGACCACGGTCGGTGCAACACGGTTGAAACGTCAGTTATTTTTTTAATTTTTGTCTTTGAGATTCCGTGGAGGTAGTTGAACGGGAAGCACTGTCGATCTGTTTTTATGGTTTTAATTTAGTAAGTTATGTACTTTAGTGTATAAACCTGGTGTCATTTTGTGTTCTAAAGTGCTGTGAAGTGACAAATATTATGTAAAAATATTAAAACTCTTCGAATTTGAACGCGCATCTTGTGTTGAGTGGGTGTTAACAACACAATTAATATAGGAACAACTCTCTTTGGACCTTTGACCTTTGGAATAATTGTCACCACGGAATACCCGAATAAAAATAGTACTAAAATACCCATGTTCCATTGTATAAAAGTAATCAATCTACACTCGACTATACGAGTAATAAGCACTGTTTCTGCTTTCTTTAGAGCAAATTGATGTTTAATTTTTTCCATTCTCCCACAGACCTTCAACGTGACCATGACAGAACCGGTCACCATAACCCTACCCCCGGTGTCCAAGGAGGTGATCCGGGCGAGCACCGTCCGGTTCAACTGCACCGCGACCGGACGGCCGGCCCCCACCGTGACGTGGTACAAGGATGGACAGCCACTAGTCCTTGGCGGACGGGTAAGGATGAACACTTTTTATTGCAAACTGTGTGTAGAATTTGCCTTATTTTTTCTTTTCTATGGTGCTGACTATGATGTGAACGTTGTATAGACTAAGTTTTTCTAAGAACATTTTTATGCTTCATAAGGCTTGAATTCAAGATTGATTTCCTCTTCTTCTTCTTGTCGTGTCGATAACAAACCTACACAGTGTCAGCCCAAAACTTCGCCACAAGAGTGGCGTCGTCAGTAGCCTTCATTAAATCTTCCTGCGTGCAGTTGTTTGGGCACGCAGGCCACGATATCATGTGCTTCGTCGACTCTAATTTATTGATTGGATTGTTTCTAAAACACACCAGTCATCAATATGAATAAACTTTGTATACATTATTTTTTCAGTTCAATCTTCGCTCTGCTAATTTTGGGTCCCGATACGAGCTGGTCATTGGCGGTGTCACATCTGCTGATGCAGGTAAATATTACTTCAGAAAATGTTGCTCATGCGCTTAAACTTTTTCGTCTCTTATTTGGGTTTAACATGGAGTTAACAGAGGTCCAACATCAACAATAGGTACATCCTGCGTTTTGTTGTGAAAGCCGTCTTGTTTATTGAGATGTACTCGTTCTTACTGAATTGGATGAACTACCATTTTAACCCACAAACCTTCAGTTTTTCAGTCTCATAAACCTTTTGGAAGTGTGTATGTAGTACTATCATAGAGCAGTTTGATTATAATTTATTTTATGTAACTTTTTCTTCAGGCTTCTATTGACAACTACTAAAGCCTGGTAAATGAACACGTAGAATTTTGTCAAATGACCCCCATCTACCCATCCTTATCGCTCGCGCGTAATTTTATTGCTGTCGCGACTGTGAGACGGGCGCCCGCAGTGAGTGTGCTTATCAAATCGTACGCACAGCGTTGAATAGAGCTCTGTGATTGATTCGTGTGTCAACCTGTGCGTCCATGCGCACTGTGAGACCTCATAGTAATGTTTGTGAATATGGGCGTATGTATGTATCTTCTTTAGACCAATACTGACTCTTGATACTTCCCCAGGCATATACCAGTGCTTCGCAAGCAGCCTGGGCTCAGTAGCATCAGGCTGGGCGTCGCTGGGCGTGGGCGGGGCCAGCGCTGCCGCGCCCTCTGGCGTCAAATGCTGGCCGCTGGCTGCCAGGGTGGTGCTGATCCGCTGGGAGCGACCCATGGGGGACGTCATGGCGTATACCGTGCAGACTACGTTGCCTGGTGAGTGGTATGGTATAAAGCAGCCTCAATGATATAGGAAAGAGCTGTTTTTTAAATCGGCTGGGAGCGAATCATGGGGGAAGTTATGGCGTATGCTGTGCAGACCATCTTGCGCTGGTGAGTGGTATGGAATACAAGCAGCCTCAATGATTTAGAAGGAGCTGTTTGCAGGGCGCTGGCTGCTAGGGTGGTGCTGATCCGATGGGAGTGACCCATGAGAGACGTCATGGCGTACACCGTGCAGACTACGTTGCCTGGTGAGTGGCATGGAATGGAATACGTATTTAGAAAGAGCACAAGGAATTGGTTTTTAGATGCTGAAGTTTGGGTATAATGTGCAGACCACCTTGCCTGGTAAGAGGTATATGGCATACATATAGCCAGCTTCTTAAGGGGTGGTAGAAAGAGATGTTTTTTAATTTCTACTGTTCCGTTGGGAGCGACCCATGGAGGACGTCATGGCGTATACCGTGCAGACTACGTTGCCTGGTGAGTGGTTTGGTATAAAGCAGCCTCAATGAATTAGAAGTAGCTGTTTTTAAGTGCTGTTGATAAGCTGGGAGCGACCCATGGGAGACGTCACGGCGTATACTGACCACCTTGCCTGGTCAGTGGTAGTATGGCAACAAGCAACCTCAATGATGTACTAGGAGTTGTTTTCTGCTGGCCGCTGGCTGCAAGGATGGTGCTGATCCATTGGAAGTGACCCATGGGGGACGTCATGGCGTATACCGTGCAGACTACGTTGCCTGGTGAGTGGTATGGTATAAAGCAGCCTCAATGAATTAGAAGTAGCTGTTTTTTAAGTGCTGTTGATAAGCAGGGAGCGACCCTTGGGAGTTAATGGCTTATACTGTGCAGACTACGTTGCCTGGTGAGTGGTATGGTATAAAGCAGCTTCAATGATATATAAAGAGTCGTTTACTGCTGATCGCTGGCTGTAAGGGTGGTGCTGATCCGCTGGGAGCGACCCATGGGGGACGTCATGGCGTACACCGTGCAGACTACATTGCCTGGTGAGTGGTATGGAATACAAGCAGCCTCAATGATTTAGAATGAGCTGTTTTTTTAAGTGCTGTTGATAAGCTGGGGCGACCCATGGGAGACGTCACGGCGTATACTGACCACCTTGCCTGGTGAGTGGTATGGAATAGAATACGTATTTAGAAAGAGTACAAGGAGTTGGTTTTTAGATGCTGAAGTTTGGGTATAATGTGCCGACCACCTTGCCTGGTAAGAGGTATATGGCATAAATATAGCTTCTTAAGGGGTGGTAGAAAGAGATGTTTTTTAAATTCTACTGTTCCGTTGGGAGCGACCCATGGGGGACGTCATGGCGTATACTGTGCAGACCACGTTGCCTGGTGAGTGGTATGGTATAACAGCAGCCTCAATGATATAGAAGGAGCTATTTTTAAAATGACCCTGATCGGCTGGGAGAGATCCTTGATGGCTTATACTGTGCAGACCACCTTGAGTGGCATGGAACACAAGTAGCCTCAATGATACAAGGAGATGTCTGTTGGCCACTGGCTGCCAGGGTGGTGCTGATCCGCTGGGAGCGACCCATGTGGGATATCATGACGTACACCGTGCAGACTACGTTGCCTGGTGAGTGGTATGGAATACAAGCAGCTTCAATGATATATAAGGAGTCGTTTACTGCTGGCCACTGGAAGTAAGCGTCGTGCTGATCCGATGGGAGCGACCCATGGGGGACGTCATGGCGTATACTGTGCAGACCACCTTGCCTGGTGAGTGGTATGGTGTAAAGCAGCCTCAATAATTTAGAAGATGTTTTTTTGAATGATGCTGATCGGCTAGAAGCGACCCTTGGGTTAAAGAGTTTGACTCCCTCAGTCCGGAAAGACCTAGATTGATTGAATAGGACATTGGTCTGAATGAACCTGTATTTTTTGGAAAATTACCACGACTTGAATTAAGGAACCGTTGGCGAAAATTTCAGAACATTGTATTTTAAACGTACCTAATATTTATTTTTAATCTATTTAGCTTTCTTAAATAATTTTGTTCTTTTTCAGCGTATCCAGGGCAGCCTCATTCAAATACAGAAGAAACAATAACAGTCAGTGAGCCTCTCACTCCCTACGGTTTCCAGGTCAGTACCACACCTTCACAATAGTTCTTATTTGCTGCTTGATAGAAACTTCAAGAGATGATTGATGAATCTTTTGTTTTAGGTCCGAGCCTACATCAAGGGGACCGGCAAGAACATAGCTAGCGACATGTCGGAGCCACCGATCGTCTGCCAGGGACAAGGAGGTATGTTCCAGAAGTATGAAATGCAATTTATTTTGTTACTAGCTGAACCAGGGAACTTCATACCGCCTATTGTTCATCAATGTTTGACGATTCGTAAGCATCTAAAGCATCCAACTTATAGGGGGAGTGCAGGACCGGTCGTTGTAGAAATCCTTGGTGGAGGCATTAGTTCAGCAGTGGATTTCGTTGAAATGAATCATCAACTGTTGTTGTTATGTATAATGTAGTTGAACTTTTGCTATATGATTTTGCAACAAAAATGGTCCAATAAATATCTTAAACTAGCGGCCGCCCGCGACTTTGTGCACGTGGTCCCCGTTTTACCCCCCTTAGGGGTTGAATTTTGCAAAATCTCGTCTAAGTGAGTATCTATGTTCTAAAAGGAACTCCCATGCAAAATTTGAGATTCCTAGCACTTGTAGTTTCTGAGATTTCGGGATGAGTGAGATATATTTTTTACTGTACGTGACGGGCTGGAAGACGTAGCGTGGGCAGGCCTCCTACTAGGTGGACCGACGATCTGGTAATTGTCGCGGGAATAGCCTGGATGCTGGCAGCGCAGGACCGTGCATTGTGGAAAACCTTGGGGGAGGCCTTTGTCCAGCAGTGGACGTCATTTGGCTGAAACGAACGAACGAGATATATTTTTTACTTTGTCCCCAGTTCCGGTCCAAATATCGAAGAAAGGCGAGGACTCTGTCCTGGTCTCCTGGAAGGAGTTCGCGCAGGAGACTCCAGGAGTTGTCCAGTGGATGCTGCAGTACCGCCGCGACAACTCCTCGCAGGAGACCAACGTCACGTTGCCGGAGAACGTGCACAGCTACACTTTGCCAGGTGAGGATTTGAGGGTCCGCGTGAACCATACTCTTACATGACTACATACTTTAAGCACGAGTAAACTTTGGCTTAACTATACTCTCCCTTTTTAAAATGTAACAACAGTTATTTTGACGCTATGAATGGATGTTCATTGTTCATCTAGGTGTTGAGGCATTCCCACGGCGTGCCCCGATTAATACTGAGCGGGCCCCTATTTGACACCAGGGCACAATGTTTTTCTTTTTGTAATTTGCGTAAATGTGATGTCGCCCTTTTTGTCAAACAAAACATTTATTTTATTATTATACTAGCTTTCCGCAAACGAAAGTGAGACAGACAGAGTTATTTTCGCATTTATAAAATTAGTATAGCCACAGAATAATAATAAGTACTACGTACAGAAGTTTTACTTCGCGAAGGTATTTAAAAAATGTATGCTCAATGTCATTAACAATATGTTATAATTTAGCCTGTCTCAAGAGTCAAGCACCATTTTGTTGACAAAAGTCAGTGATCGGCACTGCTCCGAAGCTATAGGGCTGACTTCGGTAAAATGGTGTGACGTGAGGTGCCAAACTGCGGAAAATGGCCCAGGAAATACATGATTTAGCATGAATTATCATGAATAATATTAACTACTTATTTACCTCTCAGTATCTTGAGGCAACTTAAAAAAGTACATTCTGTGTTGTTATTATTATTTAGGCAGTTAAATACTGCACAGTTAAATACACCATTTTCTTTATTTTCTTCCATCATACACAAGAATACGCGTGCGTGAGTCAATGTTCGCTCGTATGTGAGGCCTTGTCGAATAGTATCCTGTAGGTGGGTCATCGTGCGTGTTTTGTTTTCGATGTAAACTCGTGGAGATGAACAGGCCTGGTATAGCTGACAAGCCGAAAACGGGGAATTTGGGAGGATTGGGCCTACCAATTCCCACGCTAATCAGTTGGGCTGGAGAAGCGTGATTGGCGCATACTTGTCCCGTAATCGCCATTTAAGATAATCATGGGAGAAGTGGGAGACGCTGGATGCAGGCCGCGACCAACCGGGCGATGTGGAAGACATTTTTGGGGAAGCATAAGTTCCTGTGGCTGAAATGATGACGATGATAAATGGGAGAAGTGGGAGTCGTTTTATTCCGGTCTAAAGCCCGGTCTGTGAGCACGTAGAATTTTGTCCAATGACCTCAAGCTACCCATCCTTATCGCTCGCGCGTAATTATATTGCTGTCACGACTGTGCGACGGGCGCCCGCGGTGAGTGTGCGAGCGCGACAGCAACATAATTACGCGCGAGCGATAAGGATGGGTAGCTTGAGGTCATTGGACAAAATTCTACGTGCTCGAAGACCAGACTATAGACTCTCCCTTGTTAAAATGTAACAACAGTTATTTTGACGCTATGAATGGATGTTCATCTACTAGGGTGATGACTTGCGAAAAGTTACCAGCAAAAGTAAGATGTGACAAGCCGAAGACGGGGAATTTGGGAGGATTGGGTCTACAATTCTCACACTGAACAGTTGGGCTGGAGAATTTTGATTGGCGCATACTTGTCCCTTAATCGCCATTTAAGATAATCATTGGAGAAATGGGAGACGCTGGATTCAGGCCGCGACAACCAAGCGATGTGGAAGAAATTTTTGGGGAAACATAATTTAAGTTTCTGTGGTTGAAATGATGATGATAAATGGGAGAAGTGGGAGTCGTTTTATGCTATTCTGCCGGTTTAGTCTAGCTCAGCTAGCCTATTTTATTTATTTATTTTACCAATGGTCCATGACCCTTACTCGGCATGGGGCACACTGAAAACCAGCGCCGTGGCCTTCGTCACCGTGGGCCACGGCATATGCTGAGTGGGGTCCCGTTGCAGTGGGCATCTTGTTGGTGGATGGGTGGCACTGCTCAGTTTACTCCGGTTTTTATTTTTTTTTTCTTCTTCCATTATTATGTGCCACTGTCATGTCTATGTAATTGCCTGTATTTTTGTGATGTTCATTGTAATAAATGTATCTTTCTTTCTATTTTAAGGCGCTATTTTTGTATCTTTCTTTTAAAATAATGTTTGTTCCAGCGTCTGCAGCCGCGCCATTACAAGTCCGCGTGCTAGGCTCGCGCTCTGAAGAGTGGCTGCCTCTGAACCTGACGCTGCTGCCCTGGAGCCCCACGGCCGGCCGCGACGACGCCGGGTGAGGTTCCGTTGGGCTCCAACACTACTACTTAGGCCCAGTTTTTTGATTCTTAGTTAAAATAACTAATTGTTAAATTTTGCTACTAATAGTTAAATATTAACAAAATGTAAACAAATAGTTAAAAAATGTACTAAAAGTCAAGCTAACCATTGTTCGAAAAACATTTTTTTCTGATATTTAACCAACTGTCATTTGACATCTGTCAAAAGACAATGCCGGAAATTGGCGTCTTTTTTTTTCGCGCGGCCATCGACCAAACTTTGTTTTTTGATTACAAAATAGTGTAATAAACCAAACTTACTATGACATGTATACCTCTAAAACACAGTCTGAACTGAACTACGAGCATTAGAAGTTTGATGATTTTCATACTAGATTTGCTTTTTGCGCGCAAAGTTTTGTAAGAAATTGCAACAAAATAGTGAGATTGTATGTGTAAACAAACAATATCATCCATTAAAGGCTCCAGACATCAGTATGGAGCAGAATCAGCGCAATAAAAAAATAGCGCAATATTTTGTTGCAATTTCTTACAAAACTTGCGCACAAAAAGCAAATCTAGTATGAAAATAATCAAACTTCTATTGCTCGTCGTAACTCAGTTCAGACTGAGTTTAGAGGTATACATGCCATAGTAAGTTTGGTTTATTACACTATTTTGTAATCAAAAAACAAAGTTTGGTCGAAGGCCGCGCGAAAAAAAAAGACGCCACTTTCCATACAAAATCTGGCATTGCCATTTGACCATTGGTTATTATAACTACGAATCAAAAAACCGGGACTTACGCTCGTATTCACAAACACTACTATGAGGTCTCACAGTGCGCGTGGACGCACAGGGTGACACATGAACCAATCACAGAGCTCTATTCAACGCTGTGCGTTCGATTTGCTGCTTCACTTAAGTAAGCATCGTTTGTGAATACGGGCGTTAGTTTGTTACTAATAGGGATTCAATGGTGACAGAGAGATAAAATCAGCAGAATCTTACAAAAAGTTGCTATTTATTTATCTAAATAACATGGTTAACAGCGGTTGTTTTCTCATTGAAACCATTCAAAGAAAGGAATGAGGAAGTTATGGTGTAGCTGCTTTTTGAAGCTGATGAAAACTAGGGACATTGATTGGTGTTTGATCTGTATTTCACAATGGTAAAGTGGCAACTACCTATCAAAACAAACAAGACTCCTTACCATAAAGGTCAGTTTCGCAAAGAGGTCAGTTTCGAACAGATGTCATAATAAAAGTTACAATTATCAATAGATCCCTGTTGACGTAACACTGCATAATTCAGTATCCCTATGAACGACAGCACATTAAGCTAAATATCGTCTTATCTGATAGTAAGCAATTGCGGACGAATGTCCAATGAGCCGCGGTTGAATTTACAATATTATCACAATAATGCTTCAACCACACCAACGCGTGCAAATCGCCATCGCCGGCGCGATCATAGGCCAATGACAGGTCGCGGTTGGTTGAAGTTTAACTCGTAACTTCATTTCAATGGCCCCGGAAGATACCGTTAGATTTTAGTGGATAGGCCCCACCCTCCTGGCGTAGAGTCCCACATAACTCTCTGGTCGATGGGGACGGTCTTATAGTCTGACGTGCTGTTGACTATACCAGCGGTTCCTTCTTCTTCTCAGGGAAGTGTCGGTGGTGCCACGCGACGTGCGCGTGACGGGTGTATGGGCGCGAGCGTTCGCGCTGCGCTGGCGCTGCGAGCGCTGCGAGGCTTACGCTTTTCTCGTCTGTGCGAGGCGACCAGACGGCTCCAGCAAATGTATTGACAGGTAGGTCAATACCTGACGATGAGTGGCAGTGGGCAGGACATAGGCTGTTGGGGAGCAGATAAATTCTCGAGTAGCGACCACGGGCCGAAAGACGTAGTGTAAGTAGGCTTCAAGTCGGTAGAAGCTCCTGGAAGTGGGTAGCTCAGGACCGGACCTTTGTTTTTGTACAAAAGTGGATGTCTTTTGGTTGAAATGATAGAAAATACAAATAAAAAATAACTTTCTTCGTTACTTTGAATAGGTGTACGTACTGTCGCACTAACTAAAATTTTGCTTATGAAAAAGAAAAGGTGACAAAGCTTATCAAGATCTGTGTTATTGTAATACCTATAACTAAGACAATAAATGATTGATTGATTGATTGAATGTAGTGTAAGTGTAGTTAATAAGATGAACTTTACATTTTATAACTTTCTTCCAGCTACAACAACTCTGCAACAGTGGATGGTTTGGACCCCGAGACGGAGTACGAGGTAGAGGTCCAAGCTCGCATCCCGGGCCGCTCGACCGGCGGGCCCTTCAGCCTGCCGCAGTCCGTCACCACTCTTAGAGAGGGTAAGTGATCTTGCAAATTTAGGGTTGCCAGGTCCAAAAACACAAAAGCCGGTCTCTGTGCTTCATTTGGCTGGACATTTTACCCTAAAAGCCGGACATGCGACGGGTGCAATTAGTGAGCTCGCGAGTGACTACTATCATCATCGGTTGCCTAACGTCCTGATGCGTGCGTGCCTTATTCTGTGGCTCGACTTTCGCCTGGCGCGGTAGCCAAATAAAAAGCCTAACAAAAGCCGGACAGGCCGGACATCGGTTATTTTGGCCGGACACGCAATCAAAAAGTCTAACTATGTCCGGCTTTATTCGGACGCATGGATATTGATAGAGGACTAATTTCGATGCTTAGGCCTCAAGGTGGATTACTAAGTGGGGGTCCAGGGCCGGCCCTTTAGCCAGCCGCAGTTTGTTAACACGCTTCGTTTGAGCCGAAAGACGTCCACTGCTGGACAAAGGCCTCCCCCAAGGATTTCCACAAAGACCGGTCCTGCGCCGCTTGCATCCAGGTACTTCCCGCGACCTTCACCAGATCGTCGGTCCACCTAGTGGGAGGCCTGCCCACGCTACGTCTTCCAGCTCGTGGTCGCCACTCAAGAACTTTCCTGCCCCAGCGGCCATCAGCTCTACGAGCTATGTGCCCCGCCCACTGCCACTTGATTTTAGCGATTCTGCGGGCTATGTCAGTCACTCTGGTTCTCCTACGGATCTCCTCATTTCTGATTCGATCACGCAGGGAAACTCCGAGCATAGCACGCTCCATCGCTCTTTGGGTGACCTTGAGCCTTCTTATGAGGCCCATAACACACTTAGAGAGGGTAAATGGTTGTGTGTAATGATAGACAAGCAATTTCAATGGCTTGGACCCCGACGTTGATTGCCAGATAGGGGTCCAGGAAGGTACGTTTTATGAACTACGACGACGAAGCTCCCTCTACCCGTCTAAGTACATCACATCTGATGGAAAGTGATGATCAAGCCGAAGTTTAAAAACGAGCTTTGATGAGATTTTACCACAGAGGAACTGCTGTCTAAGTTACCTGTGTAGTTATATGTTTTTTTTTAAATGCATTGAATTTTATATTTCTAGGGCTCTCCCCTCCAGAAGGAAAAGGCCTACCCACTAAAAATCCACCATCTCTTTCTCGTTGAGCATCTTATCACTAGACCATAGAGGCGATTAAGTTACTCGTAACTCTGCATGACATTACTATTTCGGGCGATAATAAGCGTAATACTGATTCGAAAGTTGATTGACTCTGACTCCTAACATGTTCTTTTCTCTTGTCTCCAGTTCCAGAGATGTTCAAGGACCTAACCTGGCGCTTCGAGAACGCGACAGCAGTTCGAGTATCCTGGAACGCAGCGCCCGCCAAGTACTCCGTGTCCTACAGCTCCGAGCTTAACGTGCCCGTGGAAATGTGGGACTCCATCGACACCGTGGGCAACACTGCTTTGGTAAGCACAGCAGGGCATATAGTACGTAGGATAACCAACATAGTACGCAAGGCACGACCAATACGACCTACAATCTTTCAAGAAGAGAGCGTACTTATAACTTAAAGGCTGGAAACGCACCTGTAACTCCCCCGGGGCTGCGGGTGTCTGTAGGCGGCGGTAAGAGTTAACCATCAGGAAATCCATGTGATCGTTAGCCTCCTGTCCCATAAAAAAAATTAAGGACGACATGAAGTTTGGAGAACGCGACAGCAGTTCGAGTGTCTTGGAACGCTGCACCAGCCAAGTACTCCGTGTCCTACAGCTTGGAGCTTAACGTGCCCGTGGAAATGTGGGACTCTATCGACACCGTGGGCAATACTGCTTTGGTAAGCAAACCATGGATTCATAGGATAACCAACATACTACGCAAGGTTCAAAGGACTTAACCTGGCGTTTTGAAAACGCGACAGCAGTGCTCGTGTCTTGGGGGGCTTCTCCGAAACGCTGTTTACGTAGTTTCGGGTCCATCGGTCACCGTTGCTCATGCTATCATTTCGCTTTACGTGAGAGGGATGGCAACACTCGAAACTTCGGATTGTTTTTCGGAGTTACCCTGCTGCAATGCCGCGCCTGCCTATAGTCTGGTCCGGGAGCACGTAGAATTTTGTCCAATGACCCCAAGCTACTGTTGCTGTCACGCTCGCACGCTCACTGCGGGCGCCCGTCGCACAGTCGCGACCGCAATATAATTACGCGCAAGCGATAAGGATGGGTAGCTTGGGGTCATTGGACAAAATTCTACGTGCTCCCGGACCAGACTATAGTATTCCGTGTCTAGCTCAACTGCTCTGGTGAGCCTTAACTGCTATGATTGTTACTTTTACAATAAGCTGCACCACACATACAGCAAGCGGAATATGATGCAAAATCGCTAAACTCAAGTGCCCAAGTGTCAGTGGGCGAGGCACATAGCTCGTAGAAATGTTGGCCTCCTGAGGGTACAAAAGTTCTCGACTGACGACCACGCACTGAAAGACGTAGTTCTACACTACTAGCGTAGGCTAGGCAGGTTCGATGGATTACAGACCTGGTAAAGGTTGAGGAAAACACCTGAACTGAATGCAGGGAACACAGAAATAGTCGCTGTATATTGAAATTTTTGAAATTGAAAAGACCTGGATGATTTCATGATTCATGAAAAATGTCATTAGAACTTATAAACATTTTTTTTCAGATCACGGACATCGACCCCACAAGAGACACCTACGTCATGGTGACGAGCTACGACCCGCACGTGTACAGCCCCATCAAGACCATACCGGCGCAAATATCAGGTATGAGATCTTATTAATATGTAGGGTCACGCCTCTAGCGTAGTCCACAACGACGAATTGTGTCCCTTTTCCTTTATTTACTACTAGCTGACCCGGCGAACTTCGTACCGCCTTAGCGTAGAGATTTTCTTAATATTTTTTTCCGTAAGAACCATCCTTGGACTTCCACAAACATTTAAAAAAAAGAATTATCGAAATCGGTTCAGCCGTTCACACGTGATGCCGTGACAACGCGAAACGGGTTTCATTTTTATATATATAGATTATGTATCCACAAAAATCCTATCCATTTCAAGTGTCATTAAAGAATAAAAGACCCAATCTAAGCCCAAATCCATCAATTGCATGCATGGCCTTTGATAGTGGAGACTAAATAACCTGATGATGTTCATTAAACCGTACAAAAGTGTCGGACATTACTCATCAGTCATCATCAATAAGTCGCCACTGTAGAAGCACCTCAATTCACCAGATGCGTATGAACTAATCGGCTGGTTTAGAGACGCTTATTCATCTTCGTTCGTTTCAGCCGTAAGATGTCCACTGCTGGACAAAGGCCTCCCCCAAGGATTTCTACAAAGACCGGTCCTGCGCCGCTCGCATCCAGGCACCTCCCGCGACCTTCACCTTCACCAGATCGTCGGTCCACCTAGTGGGAGGCCTGCCCACGCTACGTCTTCCGGCTCGTGGTCGCCACTCAAGAACTTTCCTGCCCCAGCGGCCATCAGCTCTACGAGCTATGTGCCCCGCCCACTGCCATTTGATTTTAGCGATTCTGCGGGCTATGTCAGTCACTCTGGTTCTCCTGCGGATCTCCTCATTTCTGATTCAATCACGCAGGGAAACACCGAGCATAGCACGCTCCATCGCTCTTTGGGTGACCTTGAGCCTTCTTATGAGGCCCATAGTTGACCTTCATTGGTTGGGTTTTTGTGGCGGTCAAGCTGTAGATGCTGGCTACACAGGAGTTGCAGTGGTGGGAACGAGAGGTGGAAATAGTCCCGTTCTAAGAGCTCGTTCTAATTGACCAGTAAGGCTAGAGTAAATTAGGGATGGTGGACTTCAGGCTAAAAAGACTATGACTTATGTAAACTCTGGTATAAAAAGTTATTAAAACGCTCTTATTTTTAATGATTTTTTTTTATCGACAACGAGGAAGCTCTTAGCCTGTATCTCACCCGATGGTAAGCAATGATCAAGCCGAAGGTGGAAGCGAGCTTCACCCGGAATCCTCAACCACGGAGGAACTGGCTATCTTACCTCTAACTGCCGGAACACAACAATGCTGTTAACATTGTTGTTATGGCAACAGACTTAGGTAAGATGGTGGTAACTAGCCAGGCGGACTTAGAACAAGCCCTACAACCAACCAAACCTCTGCGTTTGAAGCAGGTGGTCTTACCACTAGACCACAGAGGCGGTTTAATGAAAAATATTATTATTATTTATTAAACGTGTAATTCCAGAAGCAAAAGACCTTCAGTCTTCGTTCACCCGCTCGGGCGTGGAAGTGCGCTGGGCGGGCGGCGGGCCGCGCGTGGTGCGGTATTCCCAGAACCTCACGCACTCGCTCGACCTCTGGCCCTCTTTGAACGCCACCGGATCTAGCATTGAGGTAATAATGTTCGGATTTGTTTTACTATTGATCTTTGTAGATCTTTTTGTGTAAGTGTGTAAGTTTGAGGGAGTTGGCAGCTTATTTTCTAATTAAATACCTACAAAGTTTATAGTTCTGTTGCAACTATACAAAGTTTCACTTCTTCGGGGAACACCCGAAACTTGCTTCGTCTACGTAGTACCGAAGTAAGTAGTAAAATAAAACTGCTATAATCGTAAAACTACAACTTCTTATGTGTTTTGTTTTTTTCACGCCAAGCAAAGGTGCTTGGGTTACTAATTTACGATTGGCATAATGTACCTACTTACTAATATGTCCAATCTAACAGAGGAACTGCACACTGGAACTGATATTATCAGCGTGTGTCGATGGAACTTGTGTCTAACTGAACTTTATGGTAGTGTAAGGCCCGATTTTCACTAAGGCGGAGCGGAGAAGTGTTTTGAATAACCAATCAGATTTCATTATAACCATGTCTCTTCTCTACTCCGCACAGCTCTGCTCCGCGCTGCCTTGGTGGAAACCGGGTCTAATCGGTGCTTACTTAACTAAAAAATATGTCGGTTCTGCATCCTTTATAACAGCGTCATTTTTTTTTTTTTTAAATTTATTTTTTTATTTATTATTCATTATTGAGCAATTACATATTTGATCCAAATAGCGTCCTAAATCCTTTTAAGGTTTGTCTAGACACTATTGTTCTCTATACAAATAAAAACAAACGTTTTAGTATAAGCATTCACAACACTTTCAGATATACAAAATATTATTTTAGCGAGTGCGCACTACGATGACGAAAGACTCGACGTTCGATCGCGATCGCAGACCGGATTCAAGCTTATTTTAAGATACCTTTTATAATAATTACAAAAAACCTTTTTGTCCCCAACAGATCACGAACCTGGACCCGTCCCTGCCCACGTACGTGATGGTGGCGGCGCCGGGCCAGAGCCAGCGCAGCCAAGTCCTCACAGTCCCCAGCCGGCCCGTCGAGCCGCCGTCGCTGTTTCTAGGTATAAAGATCGTTCATACACCAAATATTACCACTGTATAAATAAATATCTATATATATAAAAGAAAGTCGTGTTAGTTACTTCGCTTATAACTCAAGAACGGCTGAACCGATTTAGCTGAAAATTGTCAGGGAGGTAGTTTAGAGCCAGGAGAAGGACATAGGATACTTTTTATCCCGTTCGAAATTAAAAAAAGTCTGCTTATTTATTGCCATTAAGGCGGAACAAAGTTCGCCGGGTCAGCTAGTTACTTCTAAAATAAACCTAAGTATGCTGTTGATTTCAATTTTCAAGTTATAGTCTGGTCTGTGAGCACGTAGAATTTTGTCCAATGACCCCAAGCTACCCATCCTTATCGCTCGCGCGTAATTATATTGCTGTCGCGACTGTGCGACGGGCACCTGCAGTGAGTGTGCGAGCCTCACAGACCGGGCTTTAGAAACAAATTTATCCTTCAGACCACAACCTAAGACGAACGCGAAGTCACTTGTGTATAGTTCCAAAATACTGAACTGTCCTATCCATGACATTGACAGCGGGGCGCCACCGTCAATACCGGATAACTGGTTCCGATTTTTGCCATGTTGGAAACCATATAGTTAAACGATGGTAGCGCCCCCCTGTCATTGAGTTTGGTGGGACAGTTCAGTTTAGGTCATCTTTACCTATATTCCTTGAAGGAGAACAAACGATATCGAGATACAATTCGGCACACCGCCATCTGTTGATAAAATTTTGGACTTGTGTAACGTAGCTTAACAAAATATTATTAACTGCCCGGAGTTGGATTTTTCAGTCGGTAAATAAATGCAAGAACTTTTTACAACCGTTTCTTATTTTTGATGTTTACATAAATTCTAGCTAACATGAGTTTACAGTTAGTAGAAATAAATAAATAAGTATATCAAAACGCTATAACTTTAATTGTCACAACTTTGCATCGTTATTGATTCGATAGATTAAGCTACAGCCAAACCAACGCGTGCAGATCGCGTCGGCAATGGCGATTACTGCGCTTTGGTTTGGCTGAACGAGTAAGGCTTTACGAGTAACGGAATACTCATAACGGAATTAAGCAATTCCAAAATTAAGACCTTGGACAGACAACATAATTAAGGCATTAATTTGGCAACAAAATGTTATAAGTAGTTTTATGTGGAGTTTGAACTGTACCTAGAGTACATACTAAGGTTTTTTTTGTGCATATTTATGTAAGTATTATATTTATTATTATGTAAGTATATAATAATATTATTATGAAATTATAACTATTATTTATATATTATATTTTGTATTATTTATTTATTTATTGACGAGGAGTTTAAGGAACAGTTAGTAACTTTTAGTAATTATACCGATTGTTTCCAGGGGTGGGTATTGGAGTAGGCGTGTGCCTGCTGCTCATCCTGGCGGCAGCAGCGGTCTGCATCTGGCGCAAGAGGAAGAGGGCAGGCACTCCCTTGAGGTAAGTTGTTCCAAGTTTGCGGGTTCAATCTACTTGACTGTGACCATCAAGCGATCGTTTAAAGTACTTACAACTATAAATCTATTTTTAATGGTATCCTTTATTCAAGATCAATCACTATCTAAAGTCTGGTCGCCGAGCACGTATAATTTCGTCCAATGACCCCAAGATCCTATACCTATCGCTCGCGCGTAATTATATTGCTGTCGCGACTGTGCGACGGGCGGCAGCAGTGAGTGTGCGACCCCAAGTTACCCACTTGGGGTCATTGGACGAAATTGCTCGGTGACCAGACTATACAAGCATTTTTTTGCTTTGAGATTTCGAAATTCGTCCGATAGTGAAAGTTGTTGCATTTGAGCAGTGGAATCATCTCTTAAGTGAATGTGTGTTTAATCTGTTATCCTTTCATTTCGTTTTCATTGTTCTAAGATAATGATTGTTTGTTTCAGGGCCCGTCGAAGGCACTCGTCGGCGAATGATGACGACGACGAGGAAGCCGCCGAGATGAAGGTAGGCATTGCAATAAAAAAGAAACAGATCTGTATTTTGAAACACTTAATTCTGAATCTACCTACATTCAGTAGTTTTTGAGTATGCGAACAGAATCAGATACACAGTGTTTTAGTGTTTTCTTTTTTCCGATTATTTCAATTCTAGGATTCTAGACCGAATTCCGAAGCATGCCCATATTTAAGTCTTTTTGTGGTAAATGAAGCAAAATAGCTGTACCAACTTTGATCACGGATAATGACAACTGATCACCGTTAATGACAAATTTGATCACGTTTAATGACAACTGATCACGGTTCGTGACAACTGATCACGGTTAATGACAACTGATCACGGTTCTTGACAGTTTTGATCACGGTTAATGACTACTTTGATCACGGTTACTGACAACATTGATCACGCTTAATGCCAATTGATCACGGTTCATGACAACTGATCACGGTTAATGACAACTTTGATCACGGTTCATGACATATTTTTCACGACTAATGACAATTTTGATTACGGTAGATTAATGATAAAGACAGAAAGGACCAAATAAATGACTATCTTATATTAGTAGTGGTGAGTGCGTTAATAATCAGCGTAAGGTATTATGTGACTGTTTTCCTTCCCAATTATTTCAATCCTCGGAGTCTATATTGTAGTCAAAATCCCGGCATGTCCATATTTAAACATATTTTTGTGGTCAATAATGGCTGTACCAAGTTAGATCACTGCAGCTTATGTTAAAGACAAATAGGACCAAATAAAATGACTGTATCCTATATTAGTAGTGGTGAGTGCGTTAATAATCAGCGTAAGGTATTGTGTGACTGTTTTCCTTATGAAGAATGTTCACTAATTTTGTTTTTTAGCTTTCTGTATTCTCTGTTAAAAATAAAAAATACACGTGAAATAATTATTTCGATACTTTAATTAGTTTCCAAGATATTGAATTTTAAAAGTGCGGGCGGCGGCCGGCCCGCCATTTTATGCGCGTGACGTCATATTACAACGACTGGCTCATATTTGTATGGGTGGAATCTTGCAAACTGAATTAAGACCCACTTCCAGGCAACCGATTAAGCTGAAATTTCGCAAACACATGTGATTTGGATGACCATGCAATATTATGATGACATGGAGCTGATCTGATGATGGAGCTGGAAGGTGGCCATAGGAACTCTATAATAAAACGACTTAAATGCATCGAGTTTGGGCTCGTTCGTTTTGTATTGATGAGTATTTTAATTCTATATAGTAATCGGGGTCTAATGATGGAGCTGGAAGGTAATTCGCAATAAAACGACACAATCGCATCAAGTTTGGGTTTGGTTCAATTTTAATTTCTGTGATGGGTCTGGGTGTTAATATGTATAATAAGTTTGTATTTACAAAAAAAAAATATTTAAGTATGTTTATATCCGTTTTCTAGTGAGCGGACGCTGTGAATGTACGTCACACGGGGTCACGTGACCGTCGGCGGGACTCAATATTTAAGCGAACTTTGAATGCCTATAAAATCATAACTACTGGGTATTTTTGAATGAAATAAAAACTAATGTATTTGTAAATGTAAAAGCTTAACTGTAACATAGGTTTCAAGTGATTTTGCATACCTAGTAACATTCTCAATTATTGCAATACTGGGAGTCTATATTGTAGTCCAAATCCCGGCATGTCCATATTTAAACATATTTTTGTGGTCAATAATGGCTGTACCAAGTTTGATCACTACAGCTTATGTTAAAGACAAATAGGACCAAATAAAATGACTGTATCCTATATTAGTAGTGGTGAGTGCGTTAATAATCAGCGTAAGGTGTTGTGACAGACCGTGGGCGGGCGGCTGGCCAACGGGGGCGGCTCCAAGGACGCGGGCGAGCCCCTGCTGAATGGACACGTGCACATCACCGAGAACCCGGTAAGTGGACCTATCATCATCATCATGTTACTAAAGTCTGTTCGCCGAGAGTTGATAAAAAAAAATATCAGAGGTTCTAAACTCATTATTAATTGCGGCCCGCTAATTATTTTTGTCGATATAATGAAAAAGTTGGTAGATATAGATAATTATCATTATTATCTCTTTTAAATTTACGGGAATTATTCCGGTTAGGGCATACGTTGGGATACGGATCAAACACGTGGCGTCCATGTGTTGGATAAAAAGTATTTAATTATTATCAAGTGGCTTATAGTGTATCCCAATCTTGGGCAAAGCCCTACCCACTGTCATACCATTCATTTCGGTCTTATGTAAAATAAATCTATTCCGTTTCACACATTGCGGCCCGTTGGCCGGGGCGCTTGACGACAGCTGCGTGGCTCGTACCATGGTACTCAGTGCGCGTTGTGACAAACGACGCCCGCCATACAGAATGCGATAATTAAGCGACAGTCGCTATTGCAAGACATTTCATTATATTTGGGTCATTCTAAGTTAAGAGGTAATGTGTTGTATGGAGCGACGGCACGGCATTTTTTTAAATATTTTTACTTGAGTATACATGTGTTTTATGGAAACCTTTAAGTTGAAAATGTTTACAAAGTGGCCAGTCAATTTGTTGGTTTTTTCTCGTTTTATAAGCGACCAGGGTAAATACTCAGTCCAGGGTAGAGACAAGGTGCACACGGGAGGATACTTTATGGACAGGGAAGAGACATAGAGATACTAAAAACAGTGTATTTTTAGGAATCAACTTTATTTATTTATTTTAATTCTAATTATGAATTATTTGTAATCAGACTTCATTTTTTAGCAAACTTTGTTAACAAAAATGTATTTTAAGCCTAGGTACAAAACTTAAAAAGGTTCTTACTTTTACTTTCCATCAAAACAACTATCAATAGTCAATAACGAAATAAAAAGAAAAAAAACTTCTCTGTAACAGTTTTAAACTTTTCTTGTACATAAACAACCATTTGAATTGAGAGGTAACTAAAAAAATCTTTATGTAAAATTCATTAAAGCATAAAAAATCTGCCCTCTCATTTTTAAGTTATGTTAGGGTAGTTTTTTTAAAACCTGATCCCAGGAGATTAAAGAAACATCATCATCAATTCATAATCGTCATTTTAGCCATAGGACGTCCACTGCTGAAAATAGGCTTCCCCCAATGATTTCCACAATGACCGGTTGGTGGTGGCCTGCATCCAGCCCTTTCCTGCTCCCTTTATGAGGTCGTCGGTCCACCTTGTGGGTGGACGTCCTACACTGCACTTTCCGGTACGAGGTCTCCACTCCAGAACCTTGCTGCCCCATCGGCCGTTAGTTCCGCGTACTATGTGCCCTGCCCTTTGCCACTTGAGGTTGGCTTGATTGAAGACTTTCGTCTATAGACACTGAGGTATTTTGGACGAAAAGATGTTGCGTAGTTTCCTTCACAGAAACAGTGACTTTAGCATGTGTTTGTGGATAATCCAAAGTAGGTACCCAATTCAAAATGATGACATAACTCTGGCTGGAGTCACAGAANTTAAAAAAGGTACTTTTTTGCCCTTGCCATCGAAAGTACCTCTTAACTTAGAATGACCCATTTATCAACTCTCGGCGAACAGACTTTACACTATTATATAATATCTAGATGATAAAATAAGATGAGTCTAATAATTAAAAAAGCCTCCTCTCTTATATTTTAAATTGCAGCGCCCAACAGGGTCCTTAATAACTGTATTATCACATTGTAACACCTGTATTACTATTATAAATCTTTATAATAGTAATCATTATATTATAATATTTATAATATAATCAAAGATTTATAATAGCATCATCCTCATCATCATTAACGAGAATTTTCCCACCTCTCATTCCCACCGCTGCAACTCCTGTGTAGCCAGGAACGAAATATAGTCGACTTTTAAACACCCGTCAGATACGGGACTATTCCCACTTCTCGTTCCCATCGTTGCAACCCTGTATAGCCAGGATTCACAGCTTGACCAGTGTGAGTGTGTGAAGTATAACAGTCGATTTATAATCACGCGTTAGGTATATGGACGATCGCATTACATTCGGAATGAATTCAGAAGATCGTTGTCTGGTCATTTAGTGTACATTGCAGGAGACGAGCTTGTCTAATTTATCAGCCGCAAATGTAGGATTTGGCCTACACTCCCCAAGCTGGGCAGACGGGCTGGGAAGGCCTGATGTTCGCATACTAAGTGCGAGTGGAACTCTCACTGACCCTCATTCATCTATTTCTTTCCTTCCACTCTTTCTACTTTAGAAAACATCGTCTTCAGTTTCGGAGTCTTGAAAATTGATCTGTCGATAGAATTTTGTCATAAATTGTATCCTCAATTCCGCAGCAAACAAAAACACCAAACGGCAACATGAAGAAGGGCCGCATGCCGTTCGACCTGTCCCGCCTCGAGGACCCCGACAGCACTTTAGAGACGGTCCTGGACGCCGACGCGTCTGCGCTCACGCTCGACCTGTTGGACACGTCGCGGCCCCCCGAGCGGCCCCCCGAGTGGCCCCCCGAGCGGCCCCCCGAGTGGCCCCCCGAGCGGCCCCCCGCGCCCGAGGAGTCGTTCGCCAAGCTGCCCGACGACAACATGAACTCCGAGCTCACCCGCAGCGCCTTCCACACCGACAACAGCAAAATTCAACCCACGCTTCAACCCAACGGTTGAGGACCCCCCCGCCCCTCCCTCCCAGAACTACACGCGGGGTAGGCGGCCCCCGAAGCCTAACGGTTTCACGCGTCGATTCGATGAGATTGTACAGAACCACTTTTTTCTAGTTGTCCGACGGAGATACGATTAGAGGCTCGTTTTCGCGAGGATAGCTTGGCGTTTCGTTCCTAATAGACTTTAATTTAAGGCTGATTTTTTTTGTAAAAAATACGGGTATGAACCGATCGGAAATAGCTCCTGTTCCCACGCACGTTGAGTTATTCTCGCTTAAACCGCGTTCACACACCGCGATAGCGTCGACGTGTTGTCTGTTATTGATGATGTATATAGTGCCCGTTTTAGGCGTAGACACATGTATATAGAGTTATAGGCCTGAGATATAGCGTCGAGACAATAAAGTAGGCATGACGCGGTAGCCTTCGCGACTGAGCGTACGATTGTACATATAACTTATACATGTTGTTATACATATAACAGTGCCTCCGAAGTACACAGTACACATCTGTGAACACCGAGATACAAATAGTTACACAATTAGTGCAACATGATCGTACAAAATATAGACCAAAATAAATCCAAACACCTGTAATTACCTAAATTCACATATAACACAAAACTATTTATTCATGTTGATAAAAATAATAATATATTTATTTTTTTCTATTATTATTTTTTTGTTTACTTCGCTCAGTTCTTAGACAAAGCCTCAGAAGCTACATTATGTTACCTTCACACTTACATTCCAGAATTTTATATATTTAACACACTATATCTCCGTACCTATCTGTCTGAACGCACAGTTTTTTTATATATCCCTGTTATAGTTTTATTAGCAGTTATTTTTACACTCTAACATTACACAAAGTTGTTTCATTAGATACTTAAAAACCTAAGAAAAAGTAGATAGCATAAAAGTAATAATATGTAATTGTAAAAATAATAAAAATATATAAAAAAAATAATTTATTACAACGAACTACTGATATTAAGAAACGTAAAATAGTTTATAAAGAAACGTTATCGTTATTAGAAAGTTACTAAACGTTATTTATGAGCTGACTTTTTCAACTTTTAAAAGTTATACTTTCTTTTAATCTAAAACTTAGGCCGTTCTCACACTAGCGTTTGCTAAGCGTGCGCGTTTCTCGTGCGTGTAACGGGCACACACGCTTAATTTTTTGTCGGCAAAATACATTATTTGTGAATAAAATGCTTCAATCTTCTTTAACGTCATCTTGTGCATACGGAAATTGATTAAAGTTAATTTAATGCAGGCCAATTTCAAATCCTGTATTGTTTAGCAGAATACCGACTTAGAAACTGTTTTTCCCGTTTGTTCCTTTTTGTGTCTGATTGTAATACACGTGTTGATGCTTTTCACACGTTTGAAAAACGCTAAGGCTTGCCCAGCGCTAGTGTGATCGGGGCCTTACTTAGTTCGTTGTTCATTATTCCATATCACAATATATCTACCTCATCACTTCTCGTTGTAAGATTCTTTTAGATGTTAAAATTTAATGTTGAGACGATTATGTTTCGTGTACTTCTGCCCATCGACCTGTGCGTAGGTAATACTGCTCGATACGGCACTTACTGGTTAATTAGACATATTTTAATTTATTGTTAGGACCCTAAACTATAATAATATGTATTACAGGCATTTCCATTAACGAATTCTAGAGTTTTATCCGTAAAATCAACATTAGCACAAACATTTTTAATATTGTATCTACCTAAGGTACTTTCCGCCTATATAATTTTGGGTTATATATATAAAATACCGATTATACACATCCAATACTAATTCGCAACGAATTTAAAATACTTACGAAATAATTTTCTCTGTCTGATAATAATCTGATAATTTCAATATTGTACTATTGTTGATGTTACATTTAAAATATCAAGCAGTTTAACCGTCGGTTTATTTCCTTTAACACTACAAACAAGTAAATATAGTAACAATCGATAAGTATTTATATAATTTTGAGTTAAATAATTTTTGCACCTAGGTACAATTATTAATAATTAAGTTTTGAAAGAGCTAAGTGTTTTAAAAAGTAATAAGATGATTAAAGTTGTCTTGAGAAAAATATATAAGTACTTTTTAAAACACTACAGGCCGCTTGTAAATATAATTATTATAAACGAAGTATAAACTCAGTTTAAATTTAAAATTAAATGGGAAAACGCCGACATTGTACCTGATCTTCAATTACACTAAGTTAACTAGACTTAGGTGTAGTGTTAGGTATTTTGAAAGTCTAGAATTTTATATTTGACGCTAGGTTTATCACAGGGTCTTACATTTGATTCTGATTGCGGTGACTCGACGGGTAAGCTTGTGTTTTATATACTTTTTTTACAATAATTTTATGCAGTATTTTCCGCGTGTAAGAATTTCGCTGTTGTCTTTCTTTGTGTATTACTAACATTTTAAATTACCCCATTCTAAGGACTAACTTCAGCCAAATATTATGATAATATTAAGCACATTTATAATACTGTTTCACTTTTGGCATGCGAGTAAATGTTTCTCATGTAAATTGTTGAAAAATAAGGAGTGTTGACAATGTTGATGATGAAATAGATACGTTACACATTAATGTTCAAGTACCGTGTAACCTGTTAGATTTACACACGCGGCTCATCAGTCTTAACAACTCGACCTCAGTACCGTCTAGGCGTCTCTATGTCCCACGGAATAAGAGCGATCTTTGCAGTGCAACTGTTACACTTGATGTGCCGTCGTTGTACTATACCTATAGACTTGTAGTTATTTTATGACACATATTTTTGTACCTACTTGTAAGTGCAACGTCACACGTTCACTCTAGGTTGTGTTTCTTTTTATATTTATTTCAATCAACGTATGGTATCAAAGTATCAGTCAACATTTCTTGTTAAATATTTTTAATTACTTGTGAAACCATTTCCCTATAATTTACTTGTGAAACCAAAATGCTTATTGTCGTCGCAATAACTGATACCTGAATTATGTACAATGATTTTTGTAATTTATTGATACGCGATATTTATTCAGTAGGATACATGCAACCACGATGCATTAAGTATATAATTACAGCATGCCGTATTTTGGTTAATTTATCTTCCTCGGTTAATATAAGTTTTAAAAGGTGTATAAGTAATAAAAATTTTAACACCAATTTTTGACCAAACGTTAGAATAATTTAGCCAAAATATGTGCGTGGATATTTTATATAGCATAAGTTAGGTAACGTTTCTGGTAATTGTACTAAGTTTATTAGTATCTACAGTTTTTATTTCAATTTACACTTTTACATTGGCTTTTCCGTCCTTGGAGTGAAAAGTGAAAATTGAAAGCCTGATGTTGTGCCTCTCTTATTATTTGATATTACATTGCGCAATATAACAAAAAATACGTAAGCAATTAATTCGCTAAGATTAACTTACCTTTTTATATGGCACATTTATTATACAAATGGCAACATTGGCAACTATAGGTGCTGGAATTGGGACATTTAAAAACATTAAAATAGAAAATTTATTGATGCACGAATGGACAGAGGAAGATTATTGTTAAAAGAAACTAATATTTGTTTGCGCTGTGAAATGAATAATACTGAAACAATATTTTTCAGCACCTGAGTTGCCATAACTTCAAACTTTACTCCACACTCTACGCGGGTAAAACCATTCCACTTTACAATAGCCCACATTTATTATTACCACACATTCCATAATCGGCTGCAATAGTATTCTTACGACAGTTAAATTTTGTAAATATAATTGTTAATTTATTTTGTTTTACTCTACCTTTACCGTATGCTTACAATGTAATGTTAAAGCAATAGCATAGAGATTTATTTGTAGTATTGTTATGTATTTACAAAGATAATGTGCATGAAGTTTTTACCACACTTATGTATACCAATCTGAGCATGTAATATTTTTAATCTGTTTTTTAATATTTTACAAAAATGATTTGGAGTTTACCTTTTTTGTGTTTAAAAATTGTTGGCAGCACCGCTTCTTTGTTTATTTAGTTTTTATTCGCATTTTATTTATATGTCTATTTTCTATTAAAAAAAATAAAAGCAATAATGTTTAAATTTTAAAGTGATTGTTAAATTAAATGATATGAAATTTGTACAAGAGAGAAGAATTTACCATATTTTAAACCACTGTTATAGAATAATCTCACTTTGATATTAGGTTCGGTTTAGTAATCTCACTCTTTTGCCTTTTGTAATAAGGCTCTATTTGGTGTGATGACGATTTACCATGTACTTAGAATAATGCGTCCAAATGTTTTCTTGTAACTGCTTATTTTGGTATTAACACGAGTTTTGGTTCGAGTCTCAATTGACCTGGCATAAATATGTTGTTCCACTTACGTTCATAACTTGACCATTTTCATGCTATTGGTCTACTTTGTGACGATTATACATGAAGTATAAAAGTTACAAATAGTAATTTAAATATTTAAAAAATCTGTTTTAACATAATAAATAAATATAAGTCAATTTATTAACAGTTATATTGATATGTATAAATCAGGGGACCAATACGACCTCTGTAATATAAATATACCTAATTTCAAATTGTTTGTTTCTTAAAATCGTTGCAAAGAGCCAATAGCATTGTATAAGTTAAGATGTTGTTGTGTAAATTAATATAAAATATTATCGACCAGTGTGGTGGCTCAACTTTGAATGTAAGGTACCTATTATTAGCCACAAACCCTGATAAAATGAAATATTTGTATTAAAAAGTTGCTAAAACGAAACTGGGGTATTTTAATACTAGAAAAAATATTACAGTACAACCGTTATATTATACAAATTATATTGGAGATTGATCAATATAAATGGAAGTTGAAAAGTAATTTAAACATTGGAGATGTATTAACAAAAAAAAAGTTTTAATAAAATCTAAATATAAAACTTATATTTTGTTTTAAAATATTCCAGTTTCGAATTCGTATGTAAGAAAATCATCGGAATGTGACGTAAATGGGGACATGCTAATTCATTTTTGTTTTAATTTCATCACCTATAAAAATGGTCAATGTTATACAGAAATTCTATATTCCCCAACTGGTTATAAAATTTACAATAGTCAAGCTTCAATAATTATGTATCATATTTTTTGAAATTATGAGTATGATTAATTATTTTATACTTGCAGTAATACCTACCTGCTTTTGTTATAAGTTTGCATTTGTTTAATTTATACATATTGATATATAATATTTGTGTGTATAAAGTTATTTTCCACTTGGAGTTGGTATGTCCCCGCTAACGATATTAGTTATATTTATAATTGAATCTACCTCAACCAAATTACCCATTAATGTTGTTTGTAAGTGTTCTTTTGAGTCTTATAATTACTAATAATTACTGAATTGTAGTGTTTTTGATAATAAAGTTATAATTAGTTCCAACTTATCCCATTTTGATATGGTAATTATTGTTACCAGAATATTGAATGTGGTGGACTGCCGATTGGTATTGTCGTGATCGGATGATATTAAATTTGAAAGCATTTAAATGCTGTTTTATTTCAAATCATAATCCCCTATATAAATATTCCATTAATCACCTTGTAAAAGAAATGTTTGTAAAATTTTAGGCAAAATTTTAAACTTATCTTTCGTAATGACTGTCTGGTGGTCTATTCCACGCTGATCACCTGGATTAGATCACCCAGGTGACTTGTGTGGTAGATCCAAATGTTTCTGTCAATTATTTAAAAATACTACCCACCTTTCGCACTAAGCGCTAGGTACGTTATCTACATCTTTTTATATTGTGTATCATTTTTAGGCAAACTCGCTCTACCATAGATCTCACATACACCCACATACATTATATCGGGAGCAAAAGTGAACAAATAATTTTACATACCAAGAACCATTACAAGAATAAAGAATTGTACCAACCGAATAAAACGCTCAAAGAGTGTATAATGTTTATTCAGTGCTTGTTCCTTAGTTGCACGAGCAGGCTCTGTCGGCAAAGGCTGGAGACAGCGCCTTCGTCGCGCCGCCTCAGCTTGGCAGCCAGTCGCGCCAGGCTGAACCGCGATCGGGACCTGCCTTCGCGACGGCCGCCGCCCACTGGAGATACATTTGTAGGTTAGAAGACCAGAATATTGCTTCAATATGCTTCAATATGCTTCAATACCTACGCAAGTAGGTAGAGTTACATTTGAAGATTTCTTGTTTGATCATGACACCGTTGATTGGTGAGTTGACGACCCTAGTTGCTTGGATTAAAACGTTACAGAAGTCTGAAAAGCTAAAAACTCTACATTAAAAAGGTGTTAGGACCAAAAGCAGTAGGCCTAGGATGCGCGCCGCGATAAGCGGTTATCACGCCATTTTATCGAATTTGCCCATACATGACGTTGACAAAGTATATTACGGCGCGCATCCTAGCCCGGCCGGCAGGAAACTAGAATTTCGTGATTCACGCTTGATTCACGCTAAAGCCTCGCACACTCACTGCGGGCGCCCGTCGCACAGTCGCGACAGCAATATAATTACGCGCGAGCGATAAGGATGGGTAGCTTGGGGTCATTGGACAAAATTCTACGTGCTCACGGACCAGGCTTTAGTAGATTTCCATGTGGTGAAGACATGCAATATAATGTAGTAAGTAGTTACCTTCAGCAACCCTCTGCCAGGCCTCTCGGTCTACGTTGACCATCCCGGTGGAAGCGCTCCTGCCCAGGTTCGACTCCTGCGTGCTGGAACTTTGAGATTCAGTGACGTCACTCTCACAGCTTATGCGGCTAGATCTGATTGTTAGAAAAATAATGATAATTTCTCGTATACTAGTACTAAATGTTGTTTCTGTTGAAAAGTTGCAGAACCAATAGAGTTCCACATAAAATTGAATTGGATGAGAATAAGAAAGATAAATTACCTGTCTCCTGGCCTCAAATCGCTGGTAGAACTAGTTCCATCTTTCCTCATCGGCACTGGAGAAGCAAGAAACCGTTCCCTAGCCGCTCGGATCCTCGCTGCTCTCTCCGATAATTTGGCTGCTGCAGCTTCAGTTTCAACATAGCTTGTAGGAGAAGCCACTGTTGATACAGACCTCTGATAGCATACAGGGTCAGCTGATATCAACTTCGCTACACTTGGGACAATAACGTCAGACATCTGCCTCAAAACTGGCAAAGGGTTGGGTAGTTCTCTTGAACATTCTGGAAGATTTCTCGTCAAATCCGGCACAATAGTATCTGTGCTTGCTGTGGTACATCTGATAGTCTCTTGACTGCCTTCGATTTTCTTGTGATTTAAAGTAGCGGTAGATTCCACTTTGGGCTGTTCGGGGTGTAAGGCATTAGCGCTATGGGATTTTAAAACGCCATCCATGCCAGTGGTAGGAACGGGAACGAGACGTTTTTCCACCGATGTTTGGTCACGTCTGGATAGTTGACATGCACTCGCTGACTTCTGAACTTCTCTTTCGAGGAATGGGTTATTCCTGTAACAAATTATCCAGATAACAAACCAGCGAATATCTTCTAAGTAGGTAGTAAAATTTAGTTAATAACTGACCTAATGTTCACCCCTACGGGCATGTCAGGAGGTCGCCGCCTTTCCGCCGTTGGTGATCGCCAAGCAGGAGAAGAAGCACCACTACTATTTCCAGATGTATGACCTGTAAAACAATGACTCCTCATTAATAAGTTTTGCTAAGTAGAAAAAAGTAATACGAAACTCATCAAGAATTTACCGTCTTCGTTGATCTTCATGTTATACCGTTGAATCATGATACGGATAGACGGAGCAGTTTCTTTTGGTTGAGGCTTCCTTTGCGACGAAGGAGATGATGGCAAGGGCGGCCTTGTTTTTGGCCTCTGATCGTCTATATCTTGAAGGTCACCAGAACCCTTGGATCTACTATCAGCATCTTTTTTGATCCTACTCGTTTTAGTTTCCGATTTCTTTTTAGGCTCATTTTGGTGACTAGAGTGCTCCATCGAAGGTGTGACTTCAGCTAAATCTTCTACGTCCAATGGTATGACTGCTCTTGGTACTGACTCGCCACTACGAACTACAGGTGAAAATATTTTTCTTGTGGTCTTAACTATTACTTCTGGTGAGCCATCCCGAGGTTCTGGTGCTTTTAGCTTGAGGACAAAGACCTGGAATTAAATGATGAATTGACATTAATTTTACTTTGTTTTTCTTGGTTTTATTAAAAAAGGTATATAATATTATAAGCTTACCTCTCCTTCAGAATCAGTATGATAATGTGCCATTGGCGGAGTTCTTGGTCTTTCAGATGCCTTTCGTGGCCGTTTTCTTCTTCTTGGTATTTCTACTGTAACTGTATCGACATCTTGCTCCGTGTCACTTTCTGAAGGTTTGGATTGTTCTCTTTCTAACCGTGCTCTGGATTTTGACTTCTTTTTACCATTGGATTTATCGTTCTCCCTCCGTTTGTTATCATCTTGAATTTCTTCCATACTAGACTGTTTTTCCTTTATGGGACTTATTTGTTTAGAGTTCTTTGAAATAACCCCTTTACTAGTAGATGGCACGTCTTTATCTATCTTTTCAATCACAGTTTCTTCATCAGCAGTATCTTTGTCTTCCCTGAAACGAGATGAGCTTCCTCTTTCTATTTCTTCAATTGTCTTCCGTATAAATAAAGCATCTTCTTCTATACTAGGTTGGCGGATTATTTTTCTTCTATTGCTCTTATCAAAGTCCTTTGACTGTGGAGTAATATTCAATTTAAATTCGTTTACATAAAATAGCATTATTATCCACATTAATATTTTATTATTCTGAATTACCTGTTCACGTGGAGTTTTAGCCACAGATTCAGTTTTTTCTTTGGCCTTCACTCGTCGAGAATCTGAAAACATAACTACTCAAATTAAATGATGTTTTTCGTGGAGAGATCCCACGCTTCATGATGCTGATTGTCAACAGATTAGTCATGCACAAAATAAGTTTCCAAATCCACACCAGCACCAGTGGGCTGCAGCACGGCAGTTCCCGTCACGGTCGCGTTGGTCTCGCACAGCAGTCGCGCCTCCGCCTGCCCGTACGTATACACGGGCTTCTGCGGGGTGTGGCGAGGGGATACCGCCACGAGGGGGGCGGCGGTGCAGACTTCTTCGGCTTCAACTTCTACGAGAACTGCGCCGCGGACGCCGTCGCATTCGTCTTCGGCTTCCAGCTGAAATAGCAATAAGGTTTGGCGTCATTCCTGAAAGCTAATGTGTGCTACATTTGTGAGTAACGTTAGACCAATGGAATCAGTGTACCTATTTAAAAAAGTGTAAGTTTTGGCACAGAATGATAATAAGTACCTACTACGTAGTTTTTTTTCAAATCGGCTCAATTGAGAAAACGAAGAAGCACCACCAATAGAAGGTGTGATAATTCAGGCGGGTTTTTGACTTAGTAGGATAAAGAACATTCAATTTCACTTACAGAATGATGACCCTCATACTCCGACTCGAAGTCATCATCATCATTGACGCTGAGATTCGAAGCGTGCAATCTCCTCGAGCCAACCGCAGATGGCGCTACACTGCCATCAGATTGGGTGCGCGTGAGATAAACAAAATTGAGTATATTCTACTTACAGAATGATGACCTTCGTACTCCGACTCGAAGTCATCAGCATCATTGACGCTCAGACTCGAAGCATGCAGTCTCCCCGAGCCGGCCGCAGATGGCGCTACACTGCCATCAGACTGGGTGCGCGTGAGTTAAACAAAGTGGAGTATATTCTACTTACAGAATGATGACCCTCATACTCTGACTCGAAGTCATCAGCATCATTGACGCTCAGACTCGAAGCGTGCAGTCTTCCGGACCCAGCCGCAGATGGCGCCACACTGCCATCAGACTGGGTGCGCGTGAGTGGCGCAGGCGGGGCTTTGTTACGCGCGCGCGCAGCCCGCAGTAATGCGGAGGTGGAGGCTTCTGGGGCTATCCCACGGGACTTCTCCCACTCGTGTAGCTTGCGGGTGAAGGAGCGGGATATTCCTGTAATAAACAAATGGGTACTTCTCATTTACACTCAAATTTGATGGTCACACAAATTCACACAATAATAGTTCATAAACGGTATAAGTTAGAACAATAACTTTGAAATCTGATGATAAAATATCTATTTAGCTACATACAAAATAAATTTTATTGTAATAGAAGCAAAAATAATACGAAAAAATCACATGCAACCATAAAAAACGGGGTCATTTTTCGCGTTCTCATCGTGTCACACCTTCGGTTGCAATGAAACTTTTGGTTACTGCATTCACAATTTTCATTCAATTTGTGTGTAGCATATACTAAAATCATCGTAATTAAATATACTTTCCACACAATAGTCAAAAAAATATCTTCTTATAATTATTTTGGATTGAGAAAGCGAAATACGTTGGTCACACGATTTTAGGTACCTAAAATTTTGAGTAATAATACAAGATTGCCGTTAAACCGAACACCAGCAACCAATCACAGCGTTCTATTCGGTTAACGTCAGTCGCGCTTCGACCATTGGGGAGGTAAGATAGGTCGATCGTCGCTCCGCGAAAAAAATACGTAACTTTTTGTCCATCCGACTGAGTGCGCGTGAGATAAACAAAGTGGAGTATATTATACTTACAGAATGATGACCCTCGTACTCCGACTCGAAGTCATCAGCATCATTGACGCTCAGACTCGAAGCATGCAGTCTCCCCGAGCCAGCCGCAGATGGCGCCACACTACCATCCGACTGAGTGCGCGTGAGATAAACAAAGTGGAGTATATTTTACTTACAGAATGATGACCCTCGTACTCCGACTCGAAGTCATCAGCATCATTGACGCTCAGACTCGAAGCATGCAGTCTTTTTTTTTTTTTAGTTAAGATTTAGAGGTCGCTACCAGCTGTCAAAATATTTACAAAAGCTTTGAAAATCTTAAATCATGGTTTCATAAATGTTTTATTTAAGTGTTTATATCACATTTTACGTGCAAATGAACATCGCATAGATAGAATAGACAATCGCTTCTTGTCCCCTTCTCCCCTCAACCCCTCTTCTGTACCGACCATGGTACCGACGCGTCGAGATACTAACAAGTTAACTCTTATATTTTAAAAATAATTGATTCAAATATGTACATTGTACATAATGTCTTAGTTCATAGCAACAACAATAATTTTGTAATATTTTTATTTGGCTTTCGCTTTAAAAATAAATGAATCTAACAAATACAGAATTTGTTTTTACTTAAAATTCAAACCTTGGTAGCGACCCCTAAATGTCTTTTAAAAATTAAAAAAATAATAATGAAAGACTTTCATATGGTATATATTCAAATTACGTGGTGCCCCGCAAAATATAAGAAAAATTTTTTTTTCGTAGGAATAAGGACCACCCTACTCCACACAATCATGCTCTTCAAAGGGTTGGCCAACCAATGTCTTCCAAAGGGAAGGCTGATATCAATAGGCTAGACCTGGGGTCTCCAAACTTTGAAGCCTTGGGGCCATAATAATTAAATTCGGTATGTTGCAAGGACCATAATAATTTAAAATTTTCTGCCCAGCTATGGCTGTCGCGGGCCGGATTGATGCCAGTGGCCGGCCGGATATGGCCCGCGGGCCGTAGTTTGGATACCCCTGGGCTAGACTTTAGGATCATATCATTTTCGACCCTGTCCTCACCCCATCTCTTGAGGAAGTCTTCGCTGAGGTCTTGCCGCGCGGGCACCGGCGGCGGCTGCCTCACGCCCTTCATGCGCTGCCACTCTGTCAGCTTCTTGCGGAAGTCTGCTGATAGCTGCTCCTCCGTCGCCACGGGGCGGGTGGCTGAAACTATAGGAGATAGTTCACTCTTAACAAACTGGCAATAACAGTATGGTAACATCATGGGCGAGTAAAAACTTAAATTGTCTTCTTCAATCGTATAGGTTGCAACTGAAGTCACTTCAAACACGGTAATACCAGTAATACCACGGTAATAATATCATACAGTATTATAACTTCATATAAACCGACGAAAAGCGAGCTTTCCTTCGAATTTCAAATCTCGGGACGCGGTCGAAATCCAAAAGTTAGGGTTAGGGGTGTCGCGAATGTGCCGAAAGGACGTCGATGGCCTAGCTAGTGTTGAAAATGACTAAGGTGATTGAATTTGACTACCGTCATTTACGGACAATTTTGTCAAAAACAAGTTATTAACAGTCAAAAATGGTCATTTTCAGTCAGTTTGATTTGAAATAAAAATTATATTGTATTAAACCAGCTTTTGCCAACGACTTCATCCGCCTGAAATTAAAGTAACAGGTCATTAAGTACTCATTATGGTTAGTAGATTCAAAATTATTTTAGTATATTTTTTTAAATTAAATCTACTAACACAAAACAACACGCATTTTTATCCTATTCCATTCACAAAGTATTTTGTTTGTCTAAATAAAAAAAAAATTACAATCACAAAACTAGATAGAAATTCTAAGTAGACAGATGTAATTAGAATGGGTACTGCAGGTGAGCAGCCCTATCGCATGTTGTCATACCGTGACGTACCGCGGGGCTGTTGACATTTATGTGGTTAAAGATATTTATTTCTCAAACAGATTACAATGCAATCACTTACAGAGAAACATTAATTTGTCTTAATAATAATAAACAATACAAAAACGATTTAGCGTAGCAGTTCTATTAAAAGTGATTTTTTATTTTTTAAAGTAGGTAGGTGCAAATAAAATACAAGCCATCCAGTAAGTCACTACGCGGCGCGGCGGCGAGCATGAATAGGTACAATTCGAAAACATGTTTTGTACGGGATAGGACACATTTAACATTTGAGCGAGTGGCTTATAGGCTGTTTTCATAATAATTTGACAAATTTGATATTTTATAATGATTTTATGATAAAATAATGATTGTTAGTTTTTGACGTTATATTTATTAATATTATAATTGGTATTAATAAGTGTATTTTATGTATATTATTTTTAATTAGTATAATATATTATGTACATATTTGTAATTAACTTACTCATCTTATTAATTATAACTTAATAATGATGATTGGCGGGTTATTATTATTATTTTTATTGTTTAAATTTATTTTATTTTTATTTATTTAATTATTTTTTTTATGTTTGTAATTTGTAAATAATATAATGTATAATATATATTATATTTGAATTTAATTTATTTTTAGGCATTCAATATATGATGTTTTAAAAGCTTTTTNGTATTATCATACGATAGCCTTAGATTAGCTTAATCTAAGACGATAGCTAACAAAATTATCTATTAGTAGAAGTATGCTAGAATAGCAATGCGTTGGATGACCCCAGATATTTATTTATTTATTATTATGTAATTATTCAATGTTACTTAGCTGTATTGGCTATGTTTTGCTTTCTGCAAAAAAGGTATTTTAATGTTTTAATATAATTACAGATCATCAGCAATTGACTGAATTTTATCGCTTATTGCCCAAATATACTTTGGCGGGCGCAACATTGTTTTGTATAATAATATTTCAATATAACTATTTCAGAAAAACTACGCCAATAAAATGGCTACATTATTTAAATATTATTTTTTATAAATTTAATTTTAAACAAGTATAAAAAATAAAACACACTAAAAGGTACCAAAATGTCGCTTTTTTGCTATTTTATTCGCCGGGGACGGCGATTTTTGCGTTGATAATTTTAGGATTAAATTGTCATAACTAGTCTGTTATAAAATATTTATTTATTTATTTATTTAAACTTCAGCACACATAGAGACAATGCACTGTGGCGGACTTAATGCCGGATGGCATTCTCTGCCAGTCAACCACGGGTCATGCAGAAAGAGTAAGGCGGTGCAAAAAGTGTACATTTAGAATAATATACCTACTTACATAGGATTACATACAAAATATAAAATATCTATTTACTAACCTAGTAGGTACCTACAATTTTTTCTTCTGCATACATACATACCTACTTAGTACAGTTTCTCTTACTGTGTTTTTTTTTGTAGTACTTAGTTTACGAGATTCTACTTTTGAGAGTTTTGCGTTTATTTTGATAAGCATTAGTTTTTAGAATAAGAAAACTTAATGTGAGCTTAAATATTGTATGTATACAACTNTAGTATTCAACTTGAACCGTTAAAGTCAAATTTAGGGATAATTCATAAAAAACTAAAATTTTCGTCACATTCGTGGCATCACCTTCGTGGTGTTTTAAACACGAAGGTGATTTTAGGCCACGAAAGTGATTTCTTGCTTTGGTTTATTTTAAAATATAGTGACTGGTGTTTATGTTTTTATAATATTTTAATAACTAATAAATTATACTTGGTAAGTAGAGATCAGTACATCAATAAATAAATAAGGGCCTCGTATTTTTGTTGTCTGTCTGTATGACTGTATACAGGGTGTCCCGTAATGTAACGTCAAGCCGGAACTGGGTGTTGAGGCAAGTTGTGCTGGTTATCAGAAAAATATAAAAAAAAATCTATGTGGCATATTTTAAAAATAATAGGCATTTAAAAAAAATCAAAAAATTCTACTCCAAGTGACGGTCCTTTTACTCGTGTTGCCACAAATCTTCACTTTTTCCAAATTTTTTTTTGTTATGTAACCCTAAATAATGCTTCTCTAAATTGTTATCAAAATTACAAAACCAGCTGCTCCAACTTGGATGAAAAAAATACATTATTCCCAAAAAAATATCAAAATAAAAATTTTGCCTAGTTTAAACTGACTGTACTGAAAAAAAATTGTACTACGCGAGTGTGGCAAGTGACGTCATAATTTGGCGCATTTAGTAAGGATTCCAAAATAGTATAACACTTTGTAAAATCTTGCTTTAATTGTCGACAATTTTTGTATATTGCAAATAATCCCGTTTTTAACTTTATCTACCTTGGTTAAAAATATTATTCTAATGTGCCCAAAATTTAAGTTTCTGGCTTAAGTGAGGTGGAGAAGCCATTTTAAAAGGTATGAGCGGGACGGAGAGGGCCATCTTACCAAGCAGGGATGTTATGGATATCCGTAACCGTAACCGAAACTATCGGATATCCGAAATAAAAAAATGTCCATAACCGTAACCGAAACTGATTCAAAAGTTACGGATAGTTTCGGATAAAGGCCAAACTGCAAAACTCTATGAAATCTGCAGTATACACGCCGCAGCTGCAATGCCGCGCTGCCGATTTCATAGTTTTGCAGTTTGCGGTTGCAGTTTGCGGTCTGCGGCCCGTCTTGGAATTGTACCTTAAATCTTAATATTTGTTACCAACTTGTCTGGCATTCGCTGGCACCATCTAATATGCCAGCCTGTTTTACCTTTATCATACATAGGTGTCGTCTTAGTTGGTACATAAAGTAGCTATGTGGGTCACGCTCACGCAGCATCTTGCTATTTGTATTATACCTGCATTTTTGCAATTCTAATAATTCCGTAACCGAAATTATCCGAGACTTTCGGATAATCTGAAATGATTTCATATCCGTGACCGTAACCGAAACCGGTATAATATTATTCTAATATCCGTAACCGTATCCATAACCGAAACTTCATATCCTTATTATCCCGGTTACCAAGTACAAGTGCAGGCAGAGCAGGTAGTAAAGGCGCGCGCACACGGGTGACTTTTGTACGGTAGTCAGTCACAGAAACTTGAATTTTGGGCACATTAGAATAATAATTTTTAACCAAGGTAGATAAAGTTAAAAACGGGACTATTTCCAAAAAAACAAAAGTTGTCGACAATTACAGCAAAGATGTACCAAGTGTTATACCATTTTGGAATCCTTACTAAATGCGCCAAATTATGACGTCACTTGCCACACTCGCGTAGTACAATTTTTTTTCAGTACAGTCAGTTTAAACTAGGCAAAATTTTTATTTTGAAATTTTTTTTGGGAATAATGTATTTTTTTCATCCAAGCTGGAGCAGCTGGTTTTGTAATTTTGATAACAATTTAGAGAAGCATTATTCAGGGTTACATAACAAAAAAAAAATTTGGAAAAAGTGAAGATTTGTGGCAACACGAGCAAAAGGACCGTCACCTGGAGTAGAAATTTTTGATTTTTTTTTAATGCCTATTATTTTTAAAATATGCCACATAGATTTTTTTTTAAATTTTTCTGATAACCAGCACAACTTGCCTTAACACCCAGTTCCGGCTTGACGTTACATTACGGGACACCCTGTATGACTGTCTATCTGTTTATAACATAAATTTAATCTGAAGTTTGACTTGAAAGTTGTACAACAAAAATACGAGGCCCTCTGGCCTAACTAAAAATATATTTTTTTTGAAGGACTGATAATCAGTTAGAGTTCTTTTTTGTTGAGGTACTGATAATCCCTTTTCTGCTTCTTTAGCATTTCAGAATGCCACCAGTGTCACCCTTAAAACCAATTGCGTAGAATCTTGTAACTTAGTAGGTGACGTAATCGGTAAAATTTTATCTTGTATTTAAGTAGGTACCTATTTATATTATGTTATTGCTATTTATCTATGGACATAAGACAAAATATATATTTTATAAACACTTAAGAGTCATTTACAGTAGTAAAGTTTGAAAAAATTATTGCTGTGAAGTACAAAATCACTTTCGTGGCATCAAAAAATTCAAAACGTTAAAGCTTCCAAACGAGACTCACTATTTTACTGATTTACTGAGAATACAATCTTCACATCAAGCGCTACAATTTTTATTTACAAAAAGTTGAAATAAGTTACAAATAAAATTCGCCACGAAGGTGACGATGAGAACCGTGGCGATGAGAAATACCCAAATATAACATTATAGCCAGATATATGGGTGCATCCGATTGGTTTATTTATTTATAAGGAATAGATCGTTTCATCCGCGAAGACGCGCTCCACTAATTTTTGATCGAGGGTAGCGCGGGTTTGATCCGAGCAATCCGAACGTCATTATTGGAGTGTGCGTGTGCACTCATGGATAATTTAGTGGGTACCGATATCACTCAAGCATTAGCGGAAGAATGGTGGGGCGCATCTTCGTGGATGTAACGATCTAAAAAATTTACACTGTAAACAAAAGATGAAAGAATGAAAAACATGTCTACATTGTTTTAATGTTACCTTGGAATTTGAAAAGCCCAGTAGATGTTTGAACCAGTACTTCATCAGGTTTTGCTTCTTCTTCCCAAGCTGGGACTGAATTAGTTTCCTTCATGCGTTTCCATTCATCTAAAACAAACATCAAATTCAAGAGTTAATAATATTTAAAGATCCGAAACAACAAATTATAGACATGCCGTTGGGTCACTCGGAAAAATGGCCTCTCAATACTCGGCGTCTGTAATTATGGGGTTTTGAACCTATAAAAAATCCGGGATGTTTTATTGTTCTCACTACTGCTTAGTGGAGAGCAGTTAGCTTAGTCACTGCTTAGTGGGCTGGGATAGGTACTAAACACAACCAAAATACCTCCACACTAGGGTGGTCNTTCCATAAAATTCAACACTTAGAAAGTGACAAAAAATTTTAAAATAGGTAGTTGAAACAAACCACAGCTAATTTTCATAGTGGACTGTACTAATACGATACACATGTCAGTCAATTTGACAACCTTTGTCGGAAACATTATTCAATGAAAATATTGTCCGAACCCTTAGTATTTCTCTTCGTCAAATACTTTAACACATTGTGAACCACTTTTCTTTCACGACTATAAAAAGATTTTAGCAATTTAATTCACTAAATCAGTTGCGTACATTTAAAATAAAGTTTGTTTACACTTTGACAGCAATAGACTGACATGCAAGGTGACATGTCAATGAAGTTTTCCGTTACTGTTGCCATTAAAAGAAATTAGTACCATTAGTTTTCCGCAACATGGCGAGGGTTTTTATGTTCCTGGTCAGGCTATAGATAGTATTACCGTGGTAATACTATCTATATACAGTCGCGCGGTACGTCACAGTATGACAACATGCGATAGGGCTGCCCACCTACAGTAACCAGTTTAATTACATCTGCCTACTTAGAATTTCTATCTAGTTTTTTTATTGTATTTTTTATTTAGTTAGACACACAAAATACTTTGTGAATGGAATAGGTTAAAATGTGTATTGTTTTGTGATTAGTAGATTGAATTTAGTAAAAACTACTTAAATAATTTCGAAACTTTAATAATCATAATGATCTGTTACTTTAATTTCGGGCGGGCGAAGTCGTGGGCAAAAGCTGGTTTAATACAATGTAATTTTTATTTCAAATCAAACTGACTGAAAATGACAATTTGACTAGTTTTTGACCAATTTGACCGTAAATGACGGTCAGTCAAATTCAATCAGTTTTGTCAATTTTAACACTTGGCCACCGACGTCCTTTCGGCACATTCGCGACACCCCTGACTTTTGCATACCGAGCGCATACCGAGATTTGAATTTCGAAAGAAAGATCTCGTTTCGTCTGTTTATATGAAGTTACAATACTGTCAAAGGTTTCATCAGACTTTAATAAGTGTCTGATATTAAAAATATAACCCAGGATTTTCAGATACATTCAGAATTTCAGATTCTAGGTTCCCTGAAAAATATTTTTGCATACAAGGCACTTAGGCTATACGCCATATACCCGGCTCTTATACTCCGTGTAAGTTTAATTCAATATTAACTGGAACTGAAGCCAATGTTTGTTAAAATATTCTCTTTTGAAGGGTGCAGAAACAATATATAATATAGCCAGAAGATGCCTGTTTTACTTGTTTACTCATGCCCTGAAGACCTTGGGCTATTTACCTGCATACTGCAGCTTCCCTCTCCTATCCTGGAACTCCCGGCCCAGCCGCGACTGCAATTCAGCATAGTTTCGCGCGATTTCCTCACGCACTCCACTTGCCTCGCAGCCGCTGCTTAGCCCTTCGGTCTCTGGAAGAAATTTAAAAACAAACATGTTAGGAAAGGTCTCAGAATGCTAATTACCTATAACTATTTTAGTAGTTACTAGACTGTCCTGACCAAGTAAAATCAGCAGTAGGAAACCGCATAACTGACTGCACCAGACAGTCTGCCAACAGGGCGAGATGACGGGTGATCGCGCGGAGAGCTACATCCGCCTCTACAATCGAAGTGAACGCCTCAAAGTGACCACGACCGCTCTACCAAGAGCGAAACGAATAAGAAGTAGAGTTACTAGACAAGCTGTTCAGTATAAAAATGATAATAAATCGGGAAAAATCCTAAAGAACTTAAAGTTCGTAGATGGATTAACCTCTTTTATAAATTACTTTTCGTTCTCTGTACCCTTTACAGAAGTTCAATGCTGTAATTAATTTAAAAAATTACGTTTCAATCATAAATTCTGTCAGTCACGTTTGTGTCATTTTGAATTCTTTACCCATTGAAACATTTTTGGACAAAAACGCATAAAAATGTAATAAAACGAAGAAAAATAAGCAAAGAAAATAGAATGGTCTAACAAAAGTTATTATGAGAAGTAAACATATTGAAACAATGTAAGATTTAGCAGTTATTTCAATTCGTAATCATAATTCCCTTTTGTAATCCCCAGCCTTTCTCCAGCAATAGTATTTTTTTAAATAGAGCTTTAAAACACGTCATGACTTTAAATTTAATTAAATAATCATTACAAAGTAACTAAAAATACTAACGGGTTTATACAATTCTATTAAAAGATTCGTGAATATCTCTGGTGAAGTGTATTTTAAGATTTTTTTTATCATAAGTAGTTAGTATTTGAATTACAATGTTAAAAGGTTAACATAATAAACAGTACATTATTACGACGCAGAAATTGTGATTCACGAGGAAAATGTGGAAAATCGGCATGAAAAATTGGTTTATTGTTTCAGGTGGCAAACCGTGATTACCAATGCTCTTCGATCTCATCTTTCTCTTGATACTATTTGCACTGATATATTCATACGTAAGTTCTAAGCGCTAGCTTTACTATGTGTTTCATAAACTCTGATACAAAGTAACCTCTGCCTCTGTCATCGCTGGCTTTGCGAATAGGTATTTCGCTGAAAATCAGTGTCAAAGATCGTAACCTCTTGTCCTGATCCTACGTGGAGTTCCATATTTCTTATTTTGTGTTCATCATCATCATCATCATTTCAGCCATGGGACGTCCACTGCTGTACATAGGCCTCCCCCAATGCTTTCCATGTTGATCGATTGGTCGCTACCAATCGAGCAACATGGAAAGCCTGCGTCCAGCGCTTCACTGCTACCTTTACGATGTCGTCGGTCCACCTTGTAGTGGTCTCTAGTGTTCAGCTTGTGCTAAAATAGTTGTGTGTCAGGTTTTATGTATCTGAATTATTTGCAGACGACCTCCCAAAACCAATTCGCAGCAACAGCGTCCGCTATCCGTCAGATCTGGTCGGGCAGTTGCCGACTCTCCTGCCGACACAGCGAGCATAGTGGACTCAGTGGCCTGAGTGGCTTACCTGGCCCTAACATGGCTGTGAGGCAAAGCCCGACTCTGGGGCAAGGCCCGACTTTGGGGCAAGGCCCGAATTTAGGACAAGGCTCAGGCTTACAAGGTCCCAGCTTACGACAAGGTCAGATAACAGCTCGAGGCAGCGTTGCTGGGCCCAGTCGGGACTGCAACTGTGAATCTTGCCCTTGTGCTTTGATTGAACATTTTCTCAGGTAAATTGTTATAACTTTTTGCAAATATCTCGATGACTATATTAGATTTTTGATCAAAAAACACTGTTAAATGTTCAAAATAATCTGTTTTATTTCAGAACTTGTCGACCTGCAACAAACATCTACACAGAGGTCATCCAATGCACATCCAACTGTGTCACCTATTTCTTACAAATGGTAAGTCACTTAACCGAATGTGTGTGACCTGTAAACTCGCATGACAAGAAAATAATCATTTTAGTCTTTTGTGTTTGGTGGTTAATTTGTGACCTCGTGAATTAAATCATTTTTTCCCTTTTCAGGTTGAAGATTTGTGCGAATACCTTATGAGAGTTTTTGAATGCAATATCACTTGTCAGAGAAACGCTCAAGTAAGTTTCTGATCAGTTGTTTTATTGTTCAATGTTCATACAAATGAAACAACATTCACGATCTTCATAACTTAGTTACTGTAAGACGAATAGGTTTAATGGGATTTATGAGTACGTCGGTCTTGTGTGAAATCACCCAACCCAAAACTCTTTTTACAGCTCTTAAGTACGAGAGAATACTGCGAATCAAATGAAAACTTCAGCTTTGAGAGGGGGGATAAAGAAAACCCTATAGACAAAGTAAAAAGTGCCGTCAGGGAAAAATCTGCCATTTCTAATCACAGCAAAAAACTGGACGGCGATGTAGCTCCTGCAGGAAACGGAAAAATGGAACCAACACAAGAAGGAACAAGTAAAGATAAGAACAAAATTAATCTAGATAACCCGGACGATAAACTAAAATTGAAAGAAATGGCTGCTGATTTTTCAAAGAATCTAAAAGTGCCTGATACTGCAACACAGGGCCCAGGAAGCTCAGAAGAATCGATGGCCGAAAAAGGATTCTGCTCAAAGTGTATTAAAAAAGGCAGGACCTGTTTGAAAGAGTGCCCAAGGGCTGAGAGGAAGGATACTAAAAAATAGTTAACGTCTAATAGTAATGAAATTAAATGTGGTTCTGGAACTTAAAACTCTCTGTGAAAAGTGTAAATAATAGTGTTTATTAAATAATAAATCTCTAGATAAAGTATGATGTTTTATTATGGTAATTTATCTTTTACTATTGTTTTCAATAGCAACTTATGTTGGTTGTTCTTCATTGGATAATGAAGAACTGTAATCCCATCATGGAATCACGTAGTGGCATACATAGTGGAATCGTAATAGATTTACGTAATGAACCTTTTTGAAAAATATGAGATTTCTAGCATCTTTCAAAGGAAACGTTAAAGATTGCGTCAAATGTCAAAACATGAAATTGTAGTAAAACTCAACGTGAATTTTAATATTTTTGTTACAATGAATTGAGAATAACAGGTTCTCAGTCACTAAAGAAAGCAAATAAGGCTTTCGGAGATGTTTTTCATAATGTGATTGCTGTTCTGGTGATGTGGCTAAAATATGCCACCAAACTATAGTGGTGAGTTCGATTTATTCTTATATTTTCTCAAACTAAGTCCTTCTTCATAAGAAACTACAAGTTTCAGTGATATGTCTTATGATTTCAGGTCACAGTGCTTGTCCCGTTTTATGTCTAACAAAAGTTTGTTTGTTTATAGTCACTACTTTCTTTGTATTGGTAAGTGCTTTACTTTCCGAAAGATAAAGGAAAGGAGCTGTTAATGATGGATTCTTGTTTTCATTTGGCAATACAAATGAGCAGGTATTGAACTTTATATTTGTATTTAATCCAGATTTAATATTTCAGTATCTTCCACTTGGTGATCCTCAAATAATATGTGACGCAAAAAATGTCCCAGCAAACAAAAAGGGCCTTATCTGTTTGTGTGATTTCTACGATTTCATGGTCAGGTAAGAAATTGGTTGATGATTCGACCTTCTATGAATACTTTTTGACCTTTAGAATTTAGTATGAAGTCTGTTATGTTCGCTACAATTTACATACTACAGTTCTCACTATTATAATTACTTTTCTCAGTAAATTAAACTTTACAGATTTGCAGATAAAACATTTGTGATAATTGATAAGATGATTTGTAAAACCATAGATGGACTGTACGATGCTAAAATAAAGGTACCTTTCTCTATCGATTCCGTTTGAAGCTTAAAGAAAATTACTTTTACCAGTATTATACGTTAACTATTGCAGTTCTACATGGCACTGTCGACCTACGACCGAGACGATTATTGCAGAGCTGGCTGCTGTTCTGACAAGGTAGTACTTGCTACTTTCATTGCTTTACCATCAATCAAATACACTTTTATCTGTATTCTTGTCAAAGATAGGTAACGTAAGTGCGCCTATTAACGACCCCCCAAAATTTGTATTCTATTACCGCCCTATTTTTCTTTCTTTCATAAAAAACATAATAACAGGTTCCAGAAAACACGTTACCTAAAAAATATCTAGATATGTTTATTGACTATCAAAAGGATTAAAGTTTGTGTTCGTAAATAACCAGTAAACGGAGTTATTTGACATTAAATGGGACGCGACCGCAACGGACGCACTTTTCATACTGACGCGCTCCCAGCTACTTAAGGTGCACCTTGTTATTAATTAGCGATTTTAACACATTTAAAATGAGTATACCAATATGTTTTTACATAACAATATTAATTCGTACTTTAGTTTCCTTAATAAACCCTCAATATAGCCCTCTCGCTGTATTTTTGTGGCTTAAATACATTTTTAAATAAGGGCGGTAATAGAAACACTTTTCATAATTCGGTTCCTAATAACGACCCATGGCGTTGTTAGAATTTTGATAAAGTTTTTTATTTTAGTATTTATATCTTTAATTACGCATTTAACCTCCATTTTGTTGTCTTGATCGATTCATAAGAATATTTCACATAATTAAATCAATTAACGCCATACGTTAATTGTCATAGGTTTGGCATAAAACTGCAATGAACATTAAAGAATATCTCTAATAATGTATGACAATAGATTTTATAAAAACCTGTTAAATTCTAATTAGTACCTATTTGATATAAAATAAACCTAATAAAAATGATACTTCACTGATCACGTCTTCATTAAAGTAGATATTTTAGCTGGTTACTGTTTTTTTTACGGTCGCTAATAGAATAAAGTAATATTCATACTTAATTCTATTACCGCCTCATAACTATAACGCCACCTGCGAAGACTTATAAGCCTGTATTTTGTATATAACTAACATTTATGACATGGCACCAAACCAATCATGCGTTATCACAACTATTATGTAACTTTTTAAGATCTTTTGAATAATAAAAAAATAATTTAAAATAAGTATACAGACAGTGTCCAATTGTCCATAGTTTAAATTAAAATACACAATTAAAATCAAAAACATAAGTCAAAAACTAATTAAAAATTATAGTCAAATTAAAAATAAAAATAAAATATTAAATGAAAATTAAATTAAATTAAAACTCAAATATAGTTTAAATAATGACCCCCACTACTCACTAGAACACCGGGTTCTGCGTAATCAAGTATAATAGAGGAATTTATTATTCTACTTTTTCTGCTTGATTATTTATTTATTTCCGAGAAGCGTGCTTTTTTTTTAAATAATAAAAAAATAAATTGAAAAAAACATATTTAACTAAAACTAAAAGCAAAACAAATTTAACTTGAATAAATCAAGTGGTTCCCGAACCTCTGAGCGGGAATCGAACCCGTGCCTCTTGGAATATACCCAATTGAAGAGCAATATTCTTAGCGGTCGGTAATAGAAACAGAAAAAACGTTAATAGAAACACACCTCGTCTATAGGTCGGTAATAGAAACAACTGCTTTTTCAGATTAAATTGCTATTTATTAATTATTGTGTGATTGAATACTCATTGTTACTACTTGAATTCAAAGATTACTTCATCATTGTTATAAATAAATTAAAGTGTCTTTTCTATCACCACGTCTTATATCTAATTTTCTAAGGTTTATCCGAAGTCAGCTTAAACTGGCGGTAATAGGCGCATTTACGTTAGTTTTGACTTGAAATATTTTGCTTAAAATAGGATAGTTACAGCTCGGGAAGCTTCGCGAAATTCTCACGTCCGAAATACCGCAGTGTCTCAAGTCAAAAGTATTTGACCAGTGTGTGTTGCCAGTGATGGTGTACGGATCTGAGACGTTGTCGCTTACTATGGGCCTCATAAGAAGGCTCAAGGTCACCCAAAGAGCGATGGAGCGCGCTATGCTCGGAGTTTCCCTGCGTGATCTAATCAGAAATGAGGAGATCCGTAGGAGAATCAGAGTGACTGACATAGCCCGCAGAATCGCTAAAATCAAGTGGCAGTGGGCGGGGCACATAGCTCGAAGAGCTGATGGCCGCTGGGGCAGGAAAGTTCTTGAGTGGCGACCACGAGCCGGAAGACGTAGCGTGGGCAGGCCTCCCACTAGGTGGACCGACGATCTGGTGAAGGTCACGGGAGGTACCTGGATGCGAGCGGCGCAGGACCGGTCTTTGTGGAAATCCTTGGGGGAGGCCTTTGTCCAGCAGTGGACGTCTTTCGGCTGAAACGAACGAACGAACGAAGGATAGTTACTATTTTACAGCTTGTCAGAAGCGCTATGTAAGAATCCAGACTTGTTTGTAGATCTTTCGTTTCAATTATTCTATTTGTTTCAGGATGACACTGATTGTGTGAGGGAAAAGAAATCCATGTGTAAATGTCGCAACAAATGCTGTCGGAGAAGAGTGTGATTTGGCGGATAAAATGCTTGTACTTGTGCTTTTAAATATATTGTTTTAACTAATTTCTGTGTATTTTTTTACTCAGATTCCACCCGTTTTTTGTCCGTAGTTATTCTGGTTACGGACAACATTGAAAATTTCTAAAGGGCCACGATCAACCCATCAAATCTCCGTTATTTTCGAAATTAAGATACAAACTGACAGTTATGATGATTTAATTCAGAATCACGCTAATCCTAGATACTCTTGGATCATAGTGGAGTTCTTAGGATTAATTTATACCGGTATAAAACTGTTTAATTGTCACGATAATGATGAACAGGCGATGTCGGCGGTTGCCAAACACTCCGGCGTTTGGCCGAAATTAACTATTCCACAAAAACTGTAAGGGCCCATTCGCATGAACTCTTTAAAAAAAAAAACGAAAATCTAAGTTATAACAACAATATTTTATTTGTAATATTTGTAATCAGGTAACAATGGAGGTAGCAGGAAGCGCTGGATGTAGGCTGGACGCTACCAACCGGGCGATGTGGAAATCATTGACTTACGTTCAGCAGTGGTCGTCCTGTGGCTGAAATGATAATGATAATGTTAAGAATGAAGCTTTTTTAAATATGGCAATTGAACATGTGCTAGTTGAGGAGAGTGCAATCCTATTAGTCTGCATATTATTGCCATCGTCAGTCATTTAGCCTCCATTACAGCAACACGACTCTGCAATTTACCAGAGTCAAAGAATTTGGAGGGATTTGGACGAATTACACAGGCTTTAAAGGTTTAAACCTCCTGTAACTTTCTTCTAGTGAGAGATTTACAGAAGATTAAGGATATAGGCTGGTGGTATTAAAGAAAAATGTATTGATGGCTGCAATTAGGTAAAAAAATTCGGCTATCCAGTTGTGAATGGCACTTTACAGCACACTCCGATAGCAGTAAAATCAATTTTTACGATATCCGCGGTCGTAAACGCGAGGGTACTTCGAAGGAGTTATTTCGGCGCGGCTATTTTCGCCATTTTTAACGCGGGTATTATGAGGGATGCCGGGTGTCTACGCATGTTTTATACGATGCTATCTGTGTTGGTGGTGAGTTTATGACTTTAATTTTGATTAAAAACCACAGAACTATATGGATAACATACATTAGTATTATGATATTTTTTTAATCATTCGTAAGGTAGGATGCTAATTGTATTATTTATAATGTCCAAGGATACTTTATATCTTGTAACTCATAATGTAGAGACGAATCGTGTGTTAATTTGTGAGCCACTCTTAACGTGCTATGTTCTCTCAACGATTCTCCAAACGACTGAAAACTAAGCTTAAAACTACATCTCAAACTACTCGTATTTTAGCTGTCAAAAGGCAGCTACAGCATAGAGGTGGCGAAAGACCAGGTCGACAAAGTGATTGAAGAAGAGCTCACTCATAAGCTGGCCGAGGACCTGCTGCAGAGCATCGAGAGAAAGTTCCAGGTGGATTTGGAAAGGTACTCCATGAAATAATTTGATACAAGTGACTAATAGAAATGTCATGAATTTGATAAAAACTGCCAATAAGTTTGGATGATGCTGCGGTAACATCACACTAAATTGGTTTATGCATCATTAAAAACACTGTTTGATTTAATGTAAATTTTATTAGTTACCTTGTTATGTTTTCCATTGTAAATAAAAGTTTTTCAGTGGGTTCCTTATTAATTTTGTTAATGACGGTTTGTGAAAAGTCCTTTTTTGAGAAGCAATTCCAAGAATCTTCATAATTTAGATCAGTGGACATGGTGCTGGTGAAGATAAAGCTGCTGCTGCAGAACGGGACCATGCACATCCAGGACCGGCTGGTGGAGCTGCAGGGACAGCTCGACGGCATGAAGAAGGACAGCGAGACTGAGGTGACTCTAGTCTCTACATGTTCCCAAAGAGTTAAGAAACTGTCCATAAGATAGAAATAATCTTTCTTCTCAAAGACCCAGGGAAGGGCACGAGCAATTGCATCTACTTATTGATATTTTTTGGGAACTGAATGGGTATACAATGTAATAATTATATCCCCACAATAAAGTGATCTGTCTCATGATTTTTCCTCTTTGAGATCCCTTTGTAACAGTAATTTTGCCACTAGGATAAAATCTACCTTTCGCTTACGTGACTGCTGTGACTACTTACTTACGGAATAGTAACTTATGACTACATTGAAGCTTTTTATGTTATTGTCATCATTGTAGTTCTAGCATGGCACCGTGGCATATAGGCTGATACGTCATAACCGCTGCAAAGGCTTTCTTTTAGATAGTTTATAAATTAGAAGTACAGAGAATTCGATTCTAATCTACACTGGTGTTTTAGCTGGACGCCTGCCTAATTGCCCGCCAGAACGATACGTCAGCGCTGGCAGAGAAGGCTCTCCACCAGATGGTGGTCTGCGGGTACGCGCTCATCGGCCACGACCCTGCGCAGGCGGTGCGGAAGGTCATGGTGTTGAAGAACATGATCAATGTTGGATTGAAGCCGGTAAGATCACAGTTAAAGTTGGCAGTTACAAAAATGCTATAAAATATTTCACAACACAAGCAAGGATTCACTGTTGTTACGATCTATCCCTTTAAAAGTAGGACCCTTTAAAAGGAATTCAATCTTTATTTATTTATTTTATTGGGCTAACAACATCTTATTGTTTAAAGCGTGGTTGATCTAATCGAGTCATATACTCGTACAACTACCCCAACTATGAAGTCTTAAATTGATTGAGCCCTGCCTCTATTTGGGAAAGACGTCATATTATTTTAAGTATCTTAGATGATAAGAATAATTTTATTGAATGTTGTACCCGCCACTTTCTATTCTTTGTTCTGTTTTATAGCATACAATAAAACTATTAATATAATGAAATTTCTGCTAATCTTAACGTGGATAATGTAAACAAACCCACAAGTATAGACAGACAGATAATAAACACAAAAGATCCATAATCGGGCAGACTAAACATTATTCCATCTATCCATGGATTACACTACATCTATTAATACATTTGCAGCTCTACGAACAAAAGAACGAAATTTACAACCTGCTAAAAGTCTGCGGTCACGACCACGACACCCTGAAGAAGGTCATCAAGTGCGTCATTTCGAAGGTGATGAGTTTAAATTTAATCATCAAAGAGTCTCCAAGAATGTAGGTCATCGTAAGTGTTGAGATGCATATTGGGAGCTGGACATTGTTGATGTAACAGAATACGTTGATGGACAAGCATTTATGAGCTTGTTACGCTTTTACTGACTGTTTGCAAGAGCTGAGAGAGAGAATTTTGTTTACTAGATAACAAAAGGATAGTGTTGTGTCTCGTTAGAGTTTTGGCTAAGTCATGATATTTAAAATTTCTTGTTTATTTAACATTTACATCTTCTGAGTGAGGTATCTAGAATCTATTTTTAGATTACGTGATGATAGAAAACAATGCCTTAATTAATAAAGACCGAGTATTTGGTGGTTGCTTATTAGACTGAATGGTACATTAATTTTCCCAAATTGCTATCATAGTAAAACTCAAGAATTGTATTCTAAAAATATCTGAATTTCTCTTAACGCAGCTCGTGCCGGAACAATAACTCCAAACATTAAACTATAAATTCAGGACAAAGTGAAATCACTCTTCGGATTTAATTTGATTCGAAAATAATGTCAGAGTAGGTAAAGTAAGTCTCAGATGATTTGTTCAATATTTTATTTTATTCCAGTCTCCTATAATTAAGTCAGCCATGATGGATGTCACCGGCAAGCTTATAGACGGAGTGGTTGGCTTAACAAAACTCATGGCTCACGGGGCGATGCACGAAGCCTGCCTCATAGAAGTCATCAAGACCACCGAAGAAGAAGCATTCCAACTGGTGTACAAAATTAGAAACTGTGTCAATGGCAACCAAACCTACAACCAAGAATATGTCGATAGGTTTATTGAAGAAAATAATGCTACAGTCATCGATGTCGATAAAAGAGAACCTAAAAAAGATAAACATAAAAGCGATAAACCTAAAAGTGACGTAAATGATATAATCAGAAGAATGCTTGCTGAGAATAACGATGAATTACAGCCAAGCTTGAAACAGAAGCTAGCTAAACTGCAAAGTGATTTAGGCTCAATGAATACAAATTTGATTTCAAAGGAAACTAATAAAGGTGATAAATAGTTGCTATTAAAATTCGTCTTTAATATTCAAAATCAAAAATCAAAATCAAAAATATTTATTCAGTTTAGACCACAAGTGGCACTTATGAACGTCAATAGAAAATAATAAAAAAAAGAAAAGGTAGCCCTTATGGGGCACTTTACATGTCTCCTTATCTTTTTAATTATTATTTCAATCTTACTAAAATATTCACGAGTTCACGTTATAATTATTATCGAAATCTTTTTTATGTTAAACTAGCTTTCCGCCCGCGGCTTCGCCCGCGTGGAATTTTGTCTGTCACAGAAAAACTTTATCGCGCGCGTCCCTGTTTCAAAAACCGGGATAAAAACTATCCTATGTTCTTTCCCGGGACTCAAACTATCTCTATGCCAAATTTCATCAAAATCGGTTGCGAGGTTTAAGCGGGAAAGCGTAACAGACAGACAGACAGACAGACAGACAGACAGACAGACAGAGTTACTTTCACATTTATAATATTAGTTGGGATACTAGTATTTGAGAGCGGTTTTGCTGTAAAGTCTTTGCCATTAGTCCTCGTAATACTTGAAACTTCATTTATTACAAACAACATAAAATTGCGTTTTCATGTTGCTAACATGACAGATTATAGTACTCCCACCCCCAAATTTAACTCATTAGTTACATCCCTCATTAGTGATAAGTATTTTGCGACCAAAAGTATCTTTACTCTAAAGTTAATATAAATCAATATCAAAATTCATCAAAGTTGGGTTATTGGCTTTGGCGTAAAATCGTAACATTTTATGATTACATATTTTTGTATTTGCATTTATTGCACTTTAATCGAGCACACGCAAAGAGGTCGGTTACGAAACGGCGGTTACGATACATTTGAATGTTTATACCGCTCGTGTTTATCCAGCTGAAGATTTATGGTTGGGTATACGAGAAATTAAAAGAAATAAACGGATCGAGTGCAGTTTTATGCCGCGCTTGCTGAAAAATATTGAAAGATAAGAAAAAAAGAAAGATAGAAAGAAAGAAAATAATTGTATGTTGGTAGTCTGACCATACCATATTTATTGTAACGCGACATGAATCTGCACTTCTGAATTTACGTATGAAATACTTTTGACACTGAATTAGGTACGTAAACGGATCCCTGAATCGAAAGAATCTTCAATTGCAACATTTTTAAAGAATTATCCATAGATAATGGAAGAAAAACTAAAAATATACAACTTTTCTATTTAGAAAATCAGATGTCGTATTTCTTGTAGTCAGTATCTTTGATCTAAATGTCTATTTCTTTGACTGAGTTCCCAATAATTCTACATTCTAGCATTTCAAAATAGCTATAAGCAGAAACACGTTCCAGTGGTTTGTTTTTGTCAGGGATTAAAGAGAACTATTTCGGCCGCAGGATGTGGTTGTGGAACTATTAGCAGAGCTGTAAGTAAATAATAATAAATAAATAAATAAATATCCTTGGACATTTTACACTGCGCTTCTAGTCCCAAACTAAGCAAAGCTTGTACTATGGGTACTAGACAACGGATATAAACATACTTAAATACTTTTTTTTTTGTAAATACATACTTATTATACATAGAAAACACCCAGTCCAATACAAACAAGTATGTTTATGCGAACAAATGTTTGTACTGTGCGGGAATCGAACCCGCTACCTCCGGAATAGTAGTCCGTTTCGAACCACTACACCAAATGGCCGACAAGTGCAAGTGCTTCAAGATATCCGCGATCTCTTGGGAATGTTCGACTCGTGTAGGCTATCGGGTTTCATTAGTATGATTAATGAAGGTAGAAACATAGCTGACGTCTAGTTAGAAATGTAGAGCCAGAAATACATTTTGTTGTAAGTAGGTAATTAAACTTTATTTTACGTAGGTATGTGTGGTTCGAAAAACTCGGTCAAATACTGTTTTCACATTCTCATTCACCTTTCCACGTCATGTCCTTCTTCCCACTCTCACTCAAATGGACGTCGTCACATCATTTACATAATTAACGTTTTCCAAGTCCACGTTGACTTTGCTCTTACTAAATTTTTCAACACCAGCTCTTAAGTCTTAGCTAGACCTATCGTCAGTAATGGAAAATCTTTGAAAAACGCTATGGTTCACCACCAGACTTGTATGCAAAGGTGAATGTCCCCCGTTGTCTAATTACTCATTTTTCACGTGGCTCTTTGCCAACTTTTAATGGGTGAATCCGCGTGTTCCTTAATGTGTACTCGTGTTCAATGTTTTTGTTGGTGTTCAGTAAGTGGGTTGTTGCTTACGTTGTTTGGGCTTCGAGATTTGGGGAAATGAGCCGAATCGCAGCGTTATTACTCACCAATGTGTGAAGATTCAGGACAACTTTGATCTGAAATTGTGCTAAAAGGACATGTTTCTGGAAATTTACTTAAAATTTGAAATTCTGGAAATTTATTGCGGAACAAACTCGTAATTAGCAACCTAAAAATCAAGTTAATTGAATTACCAATTTCTGAAATAAATTTTTGAAATTATAAACTTAAAAGTTTTACTTTAGAAGAAAGAAATCTAAAGATTCGCCTGATTTATTTACTACTACAATTCTAATGACAATAACTTATTTTCATGCCAAACTGAATCTTGTAAATTGAGCCTAGAATTATTATTTTAACTGGAGCTATCTCTACTTTTTTACTCCCATTAAACCGCAAGAACATCAAACTTTCTTCGTAGTGGAATCCGATAAGTGTCGATATATCGACATGTGTCGATATTATCGACATAGTAAATCTTTGATTGCCGCTAATAGCAGCCAAGGTCCTCGCTGACGTGGAGAGGCCCGACTGAACCATGAGTAATGTTACCAGAATACTAAATACAACAATAACATGGCAATAATGTTGCGCTTCTACTAATAGTATGGATTTTGGTCTCTTGGCCGAAATTCCAAAGCAAATACTGTGTTTTGGGCAAAACATACCGTACTGACTAGCATGTGACCAAATACCCGATATCATTACAATGACATGTATTGTTGTCTTGTTGTTTGGCATTGTTACAATATTAGAATGAAAGTACACCTTGAAAACATCTTGAAAATTTTCACGAGCCATTTCAATAACCATTACCTTTTCCTCTTTTTAAATTCCTAACCGATTTGCTATCAGTATTTCTGACAGATCTTAACACTACAGTACACGCGCCCCTTTTTTTACACCAATACACGTGCGGCCTACTCTGGTAAGCCAATTTAAAATCACTGTAAATCACTTTGTAAGCAATTTATGAATAAAATTACTATGTCAATAATAAAGGTGTTTATTATAGTTCTTTTATAATCAAAGTTTCTTTATAAAACTATTTGGGATCAAAAATTATAAAAGGATTTAAAATTTGTAAATTTTTGGACCAAAATTGCACTCTGTGATCCATGTTAGCAAAAAAATTATTTACTGAAAAAATAAGATTTGTTTTTTATCTTTCATAGCATTCAAGACTTTCTACTACCTGGTACATGGGGTAAATCCATTTTTTGCAAGTCTTCCATAATTTTTTTGTCGAGTGATTTCGGGCTTTTGAGTAGAACCGCAGTTTTGACGGCCAATTTTAGAAAAATGCGCAGACGCTGGTGACTCAAGCTTTACTGGCTTATTGACAAATTTAGTAATCGAGGCTTTCCTGGAATGCCAGCTCTCTGGCGCAAGTTTTTAAAGAGTTATAGCGTAAAATGTTACCCTGGTCTACTATAGTAGGCCACGCGTGTACTCTAGTGTTAATAATGATGCTTAGAACGACTCAACATGCAATAGATTACTTTGGACACATTTGTTTGTCATATTCACAATCAATAGCAAATAGCAAGCAGTTTTACGAGTATAAATTATCTTCACAAACTTTCATCGAATTTGAAATGTTTCGTCGACACAGAAATGCCCAAATTCTTCGCAGTTCCGTACATCATTATTTTATAAAATCCATCATCTTAACTCTTTCTTAGCAAAAAGCTCCGACATAAGCATACACTGCCCAGACTCGATTGTACAGTCGTCAGCCCATCAGACAATCATGTTTCAGTTGCAAAATAGTACCTATTTCAACTACACAAGAAGCCAGTGTTTACTTTTAATGCCGTCGTCTGTAAATTTGGTTTATTTGCGTAAAAGTCTAAAAGCATTTTTACAAAGAATTTTCCGATTTATCAGATCCTATTGAACAGAACATTGTGTAGATTGATTTGGCATGAAACGTAATTAGTACACAAAATTTACGCCCGTATTCACAAACATTACTATGAGGTCTCACAGTGCGCGTGGACGCACAGGGTGAGACATGAACCAATCGCAGCTCTATTTCACGCCGCGCTGTGTGTTTGATTTGCTGTTTCACGCAAGAATGGTTTGTGAATACGGGCGTAAGTTTACTTCTTTCAGAATTCAAAGTACTTACTGTAACGAGCCTGAGCATCATAAGATAAATAATAATAAAAATAAACAATATTCTTGTCATTTTTCATGACATACTTACTGGAGATAACTACGAAAATATCATTCCTACGTAAAATTAAAACTATTGAATTTTCGAAAACTAACTATCGGTATTTATCAGCCTAATGCAATAGTATCGTCTAAAAACATTCTTCTCGGTGCTTTTGAAACAGCCGAACAGTTCTAAAAGCAAAGAACTTGCAGACGGCATCGTATAAACGCACTGCTGGAACGTTGCCAGCTGTCGGCCACATTGTGATACGGTGCAATGAATTATTGCTGGTTTTCATTTCTTTGGAAAGATTCTGTTGAAAGGATAATGGACAACTGTTGACCACCTAGTTTAAACTAGAGTTTGAAGAATACTAGACGTGAAATTGACTGATTGAGATCGTCCTTATTCTTCGCGAATCTAGAACAGCTTTTTCAGTGCAACTGACATGATGCCGAGGAGTGAACAAGTGGTTATCAATCAGTTTACGGGACTATTCCCACCTCTCGTTCCCACCACTGCAACTCCTGTGTAGCCAGGATCTACAGCAGGAGTTCGAAATTAAGGTTCGACTTCCCTCCATTGCAAAGCGGATGACAGGTGACAAACAAAGGTTTAAAACCTTTAAGAAAAAGATTATGCACCACGGACAATAAATTAAATTAAGGGGGCCTATCTCGTCGACCATTGCTCGTCGCAGTTCCTCACGGGACATGGCAACTTTAAACATAAACTTCACGAATTCAAACTAGTTCCGTCTCCTTTTTGCGAGTGTTCCACTGATGATGTCAGTCATGAGCAGTCTGCCCATCATATCTTGTGGGAGTGTGATCTTTGGAAACATGAACGTGATATAATGCTTAATTCAATACTACATACATCTGTTTCCGCAATTTATTACACCGATCTTGTCGCGACAAGGAAAAATTTCCGTGCTTTTAAGCGATTTTGTGAAAAATATTATTGGCAGGTAGTTCCTAATTGCTTATCAATCAGTTTGCAAACTGTTTTGCAAATAGTTACAAAAAACGTACAGCTTATTTGTTTCTATGTATAATCGTGTTTGTATCTTTTATTTTATTCTCAACTGAGTTATACGGTTGACCTCAATCTCATTCAAGGCAAATAATGATGAGGTGTAAGATAGATAGAGCACACTTTCTCAGTAAATGCCTATTCACTCCAGTCTTTGGCTAGACAACTATTACTACAGAATTTACTATCAAAAGCATCTTCATATTTATTTTATTTTTTTATTTAAGGCACAGCTACAGAGAACAATTAATAACAATACATTTAACACAACAACATAGCACAATTATGCCAACAACGACTGTGACACACTCGCAAGTGACCGCTTTTCTTCACACAGTAATTTTGAACTGATTGAATATCTCAAGAGTTTCTGACACGAAGGTTTGATGAGGTATAAGTATATTAAAGTAGACTTACCAGCATCAGTGAAGAATGCAGAATGCCTGCTCGGGCTGGAAGGCACGGAGGCGGAAGCAGACGTGAGGAAGGCCCTCTTGACCTTGGTCCACTTGGACGCCCTCGGAGGCCGGTGCTGGGGAGGTCTCGCTCCCAGTTCTAGGGACCGCTGCTTGCGGAGGATCGGGTGGGAAGGCTCGGATTCTGCAGGAAATATGATTAAGGATAATCTTGGTTAAAGAATTTACAACTGGCACTAGCTTGAAACTGCTGCAAACAATTCCAATTTCTATGCATTTGTATCTTTACACTATAGACGAGGCAAATTGCCAGACTTGCCTTTTTCTGTAAACTGAGAATTTTTATCTTGCTCCTATAGTATGCAAGTCTGCTTTATTTAATGTAGCAGATATTATGCATTCGGCGTCATGAAAGTTTTTAAGATTATCTTAACTTTTTAGCCAACTTCCCAAAAAAGATGAGGCTATATCTAATGATAAGCAATTTTTAATTGTAAGAGAGAGTCTTCCTCTGAATCAATACATCGTTACTAAAATCTTGTGAGGAATGTTAGCCTAGCTGGTTGTTTTTGTCTACCTAAAAACCAGGACTTACCCAACTCCTCAGAAGATGGTATCGTCAGAGTCAACGCAGGAGGAGCGTTGCTATCACCACCATCACTCAAGGACCTCCTTCTCGTTGGCACCACATCTGGGGAACTCTTGGAGCCTCTGCTGGACTTCTTCTTGACAGACTCCCATTGGATCTGCAGATTTGGCCTAGCTAACTTATTTGTCTAACCTAAAAACCAGGACTTACCCAACTCCTCCGAAGATGGTATCGTCAACGTCAACGCCGGAGGAGCGTCGCTATTACTACCATCGCTCAAAAACCTCTTTCTAGATGGGACTACATCTGGGGACTCTTGGAGCCTCTGCTGGACTTCTTCTTGACAGACTCCCGGTGAGTTTAGAGATACCTAGCTGGTTGTTTTTGTCTACCTAAAAACCAGGACTTACCCAACTCCTCAGAAGATGGTATCGTCAGAGTCAATGCGGGAGGAGCATCGCTGTCACTTCCATCACTCAAGGACCTCCTCCTCGTAGGGACTGCATCAGGAGAACTCTTGGAGCATCTGCTGGACTTCTTCTTGACAGACTCCCGGTGAGTTTGGAGATACCTAGCTGGTTGTTTTTGTCTACCTAAAAACCAGGACTTACCCAGCTCCTGAGAAGACGGTATCGTCAGAGTCAATGCGGGAGGAGCATCGCTGTCACCACCATCGCTCAGGGACCTCCTCCTAGTTGGGACTACATCTGAGGAACTCTTGGAGTCTCTGCTGGACTTCTTCTTGACAGACTCCCGGTGAGTTTGGAGATACCTAGCTGGTTGTTTTTGTCTACCTAAAAACCAGGACTTACCCAACTCCTCAGAAGATGGAATCGTCAACGTCAACGCCGGAGGAGCATCGCTGTCACCTCCATCGCTCAAAGACCTTCTTCTTGTTGGCACCACATCTGGGGAACTCTTGGAGCCTCTGCTGGACTTCTTCTTGACAGACTCCCGGTGGGTCTGGATGATGTCCCGCATCTTGCCCCACGGGCTCTTGTGAAGCTTATTCGGGGAGGGAGAGGTGGAACTGTCATCCTGGTGAATAAAATGCTATTTTAGGAAGTCCATATGCCTACCTACATTATTATTTTGCAAAAAAGTTCATGTCTTTGATAAAGTGTTATCCATCTACGAGTAGGACTTAATATGTATTTTACAGGAATTATTGATATCGAATTTCCATTATTAACTCTTGCCTATGCCAGTATTTGTTGCAATTTTACCAAAGAAAAAACTAGGTATAAGGCGGGGTTGCACCATCTTACTTTAACTTTGACAAACGTCAAAAATCTGTCACACTCCATACAAAAAACACCGGTTAACGTTATAGTTACGGTCAAAGTTAGGTGGTGCAACTCAGCCTAAGAGTTTGTAGTCCAAAATGTAAGGTATATGAAAGAAGTAAGAAAACTTTATTTTTACAGTGGTCTAGTCGGTTATAAGTAACATTATTTCTATTCACTGAAATCAAACGGAACTCCTCATTATCTTCCGAAACACATGTTTCGTTTAGGAACATTGTGACGTCACCTGCGTAGGCGCATGGAGGAATGCGCTGTTGGTGTCGTCACGCAGCGGCGCGCTCTTGCGGCACGTGCCTGGAACAATTCACATATTTGCGCGTTAGTATCACCGGGTTCAAGTAGATACAAAAAACAGCGCATCAAGCTATACAATGCTGGATCTTATGCAACTGGAATAGGGACGAATTTGCAACAAAATGTACCTATAATCTGCTGTGCTTTTCACTGCATCCAGCACCTACCATTAAATGTGGGTTTTATTGAAATACGTCACTACCTTTATGAGGTCGTAGGGTGGGTGATGGAAATCGTTGAGGGAGACCCATGTTCAGCAGTGGACATCCTATGGCTGAAACGATGATGATGACGCGCTTTTTACAGTAAATTCCTATACTTTTACCGCGAAATACATACTGTAGAGAGTTGGCGGCTTACACTAAACAACATAGGTACGAATACAATAATACCTAATGGATAATGGTAAGTACTTATTGGTATTTTTGTTTGCAATAATGTTCTAGTTTATGAGACAATAATTTGTTATTTAGTAACTGGAAGAATGGAAGCGTTTTCATAATATTTACTCTGTTTTTAACCCTTTACTCAGAATTGCATGCAGTGCTTCTGTGATGATTCAGTCGCGGGATGTAGCGACGATGTACACGTACATGTGCTTCTAAACAATGATACACGCATGATGCACTCGCGATACATAAGAATAACAGTGATACATTCGCGATTCATTCAATGCGAATCCGATAGTATCGATGCTACAGCGCTTTTATCGTTAGCAATTTATAGCAAAATACTGTCGTTAATATTAAGTAGGTACTAGGTACCTACAGAAATCCTGTTAAGTGAAAGCCAGATTTTCTTTGTTTTGTTTATTAACTACCTACATATATGAGTTTCCTTGATGAATCTTAATGAATTGAATCATATCCGCAATTCTTAGAAAATGCTTTTCAGCTCGGCCATCGATATTACAATTTATAGGCAAAGATGAGTAAAGCAGGTTAATCTTCGCTGGCGTTAACTCATTCGTCGATCTTTGATCACGCCGCGATGCGAATTAATGTTTCTAAATAACTGCTTTGGCGAAACGTTTCCACGTTTACGATATTGTAAACAAATGCAACGCATATGGAACTTGCAATAAATATTTTGTGCAATATTATTGGTAAGGATTCTATGAGTAAGCTATCGTAATTCATATTTACTTAGGTACAATCGTTTCTGAAAAACATATTGGAGGGGGTTTGCGTAAGATTAATGATTGTGCTCTCGTAACTCAGCTTGTAGATCGTCTTATCAGACGAAAAGTTAAGGTTTTAAGCAGATATGCCTACCGAAGCACAAAATAAAATTTTCATCATATGAAGCAAAACAGACCATTTTTACGCGTGGAACTACTTTGCAAATAGGTAGGTACCCTAGAGGTCATAGGCGCAGCACTTTTTGTGTTATATGGCCTGCCCATCTACCTCATAGAAATTTCGGTATTTGGGCATTCGACCGCGAGTGCATCCAGTGGAATGAAATCAACTGGTTTCTTTCAATAGTATTATAATGAAACAAACACGAACCTGAATCCATCCTCAGCTCCTCGCACGAGGAGTTAGGAGTCAGCGACAGCGCGCTCCCGGGGGTCAGACTAGCGGAGTCCCTGGGCTCGGGAGGCAGCGAGGCTGACGTCGGGCAGGAGCCAGCTAGCGCCACGGAGCCAAACATGGCTCCGGCCGCCACGGCGCCCGCGGCGCCGCCCATGGCTGAAGGCTGCCATTGGGCTTTCTCCCATCTGGGGGTAAGACAAAAGTTCTTTTATAAACAAATATTTCGCGTACGCCAATAATAATGACTGCTACCTTTAATTCAATTTAAGGTAGCAGCAAGTCCCTGGACGCAGGCCGCTACCAACCGGGCAACATGGAAAGCATTGGGGGAGGCCTATGTTCAGCAGTGGACGTCCTGTGGCTGAAATGATGATGATGATGATGAATAATGACTTGATCCTGATGTAAATATCACAACTGCATTTATATTTAAGTTGGTTAAATAAATCCTTGGACATTTTAACTTTCAAGGCGAGAGTGAGTAGGCACTTACATACAGGGCAGTTATGTGCCATCCTAGACTGCATCTCACTTAACACCAGGTGCGATTGCGGTCGAATATTATCTGCCTTGTCTTGCATAGAAAAATAAAAAAACGAGTAAAACGCTTTGAATAAAACTAAATCAAATCGACACGATTGTGATTGGTACATAATAAGAAAATAAAGAAAATAATCATGGCGTTTTCAAGTTTTGCTACTCACAAACGGAAATCTTAAGATCTAAAGTAAATTTTACTTTCGGTTTTTAAGAAAATACCTATAATGGTTACCTTAACCTATCGCTTCGTTTCACGACACGTCCTGCCTGCCACTGATTTGCAAATTCGAGAAATGGTATTAATTTACATAAAAATAATAATTAATACTCGTACTTATGAACCAAAAAAAAAAACAAAATATTCACACAGGCCATAGTCCCCAATCCCCATATTACAAACATTAGTATTACGGGCCAGAGCTGCATAGGTTAGGAAAAGTAAGTTTCCAATACTTAATGCTCAAGTGCTCAAGGAACGAACCCAAACAAACAAAATGGAATACAAACACAAAAGTATAATACATACCACTGTAAGTAAACAATGCGATTTAAATCTGTGTTTCAATAACACGTTTCCGATTTCAAAACACACTATGAACGCAACAATTGTGAAATAAATATCTTAAAATGGCGATTCAGTAAACTGTCTTAATCAACAAATAATTTAGTTCTCAAGATAAAATATTTAGTTTTGTTGTTTCCTTTTAGAGGAAAAGGCAAAAGCATAAATATCATACGCCCGAATTTACCAAATTTTTTGTTTCCACTTTTTTAAAAATTCGGTTAAACCGCAGCCAGGACTGTTTTTTGGTTAGCGGACTGCGAAGTTAACGGTTACTGTGGTTGTATGGTTTTAAAAATTTGCGGGAAACAATGTTTGTAGGATGAAATGTGCGTTTATATTAGTCTCATAGGCGTGTTATCGTCATAAAATATATTCACCGGCTATTTTTACAAGCTTTTATTTAGTTTCACGTGTCCCATTAATCAAATCTTGTAAGTTAAATTTGACCCACATCCCATATGTCTATTGAGCTGAAATTTTTCCATAAATTGAGTAACTAATGTCATCATCATCATCATCATATCAGCCACAGGACGTCCACTGCTGAACATAGGCCTCCCCCAATGCCTTCCACGTTGATCGATTGGTAGCGGCCTGCGTCCAGCGCTTCCCTGCCACCCTTACGATGTCGTCGGTCCACCTTGTAGGTGGACGTCCCACGCTGCGTTTTCCGGTACGCGGCCTCCATTCCAAAACCTTTCTGCCCCATCGGCCGTCAGTTCTGCGTACTATGTGCCCTGCCCATTGCCACTTCAGCTTGCTAATCCGTCGGGCTATGTCAGCGACTTTGGTTCGTTTACGGATCTCCTCATTTCTGATTCGATCTCGCAAAGAAACACCAAGCATAGCCCTCTCCATAGCACGCTGTGCAACTTTGAGCTTCTGTATAAGGCCTATAGTGAGAGGCCACTAATGTACGAGTAATAAATTGTTGGGTTTGATAGAATTCAATATTTTATTGCATAAAAGCTTGTTTTTTTAATTGTTTTTTTAATTTTAATAAGTTAATTGTTTATCCGTTTTTAACTATACATAGGTACCTAATACAAAAAGAAATCACTAGTTACTATTCAGATCGAAAACTCTGTAGACCCATTTCTTCGTAGATATTTTTGCTAGCATTGTTTTGACAAACCGACAGACAAGTGTTTACTCGTCAATCTTAGCACTACACTAAATAACACAGTTATAAATCTTTTATGTTTTTATGAAAAGATATTTAAGTATAAAATGTTTGTCTAATCTATGTAGAACCTACGCTTGTGTAAAAAATCATGTAAAATATCGTGTAATTTTGAAGGAAACAACTTGTATTTTTCTATATTTGAGACTGAATAACTCTATTTGACCGAAAAGATCACGAAGGCATTATCAATATAGATTACTTATTATCTTACCTAAATGCTGCTTTAACCCTAGTCCACTTCGACACCTTCGATTTCTCCATATCTTTATTGAAAAACACTTCAGACCTCCTCCGTAGAGGAGTCCCAGGAGGAGCGTCACTCTCCTCCCCTCCCGCGGACCTCGACCTCTGCTTCCTCAACAAAGTCCCTCCGAACTTGGAATGACCTTTCCACTTAGACCCGGTCCTCTTCATACTTCTCCCACTTACAATCATGGAGTCAAATATCGCCTGACCATATTCGGATTCCAGCTCAGCGTCCATTATTTCGTTTAGCAGGTCCAAGTCTTTCCGTTCTGCTTTTATCCTCTCGTTCTCCAAATGTATCTTCTGGTACGCACTGTGCCATCTTTTTAAATGGTTCACGTCTCTCAACTTCTTTACCAGGCGAGAGTTGTGTTCTTTTAAGGTGAGGAACTGGTCGACAAGTTCTAAGAGTTTTTCCAGTTGGTCTAACGCTTCGAAGGTGTCCTTCGTTCTGGCAGCTAGGTCTCTTCCTCGCTTCGAGGCCAGGTCGTCACGGTCTTTGAGCCGCTGGAGGATATTATCACAAATGGCTTCAGGATCTGGTATCTCGGCATCTTGGAAGCTCCGATGCTCATCAGGCGTGATAGCAGCAGTGCAAGGAGACGATCCTTCAGGATCTGATGGCGTTTGAGGTGGCCTAACTGATAGAGAAGCAGGCGGTTCCCCTCTCCTTCTTTTGTGCAACGACGTCCCGCTGGGAGGGAGGTCGGCTAACTCTGTCACCTCCTGTTTTTTGTCCTCATCGTGCTTGCCGTCGATGACGTCACCACTTTCTTTTGGTGACGTCATTTTGAGTCTGGGGAGTGCTCTGTGTCTGGACTATTTATAAATGAAAATAAACGCACGTGCATCGTTCGGTGGAGCGGTTGCGGGACATTTTATACCGGAATGCATTCTTTTGGATTTATTAATATCGTTCCCTTACGACTTTTGTAATGTTTTATATTAAAATATTTAATATTTTTACTTATTATTAAACTAAGTAGTGGTTAAGCAAGGTATTTTGTTCAAAAAGTAAACTTCATATTTAACTGATACAAGTAACTCAGCACTTAACAATCACACACAATATACACTATTAAAGCTTTTCCTTTGGTTACGGTTTGCACTATAAATTCCGCGTATTTAATACTATAACGGTTTGCGATAATTATATGGTAGAGTGAAGGTTTAGTGTTAGAAATCGAACCGCCCAAGCGCGCGCGCAGATAGGGCGGGCGGGCGGTCGACCGCGCACTGCCGAGCTTGCGCCGGAAACCGCCGATCGTTGCCGAAGGCGTATTTTTAACTTTCCATTTACTCTCTCCACTCAAAACAATTTAAAACCTACGTCAATCACAATAGAGTTTAGAAATGTGAAAATTTAACTTTGTTAGGTTAACACAAACCTAATGTTAAGCTTGTCTTCGGAACTGAAAGCCCATTAACCTATTTTATTGAAAAAGGGAGTAAATAAGTAATGTTCTGTCGTGTCTACAGCTCGTGGACCGACAGAGGAATTTTTCAATTTGGCTGATTTATGCAAGAACATCTCTTGGGGAAAGGTGATGTTATTTTTCAAGTGTAATTGAACTAAGCGAATGATATATTGTTCATTGGTGTTTTCCACGGATAGCTATTTTATTAATCTCGATGTTTTCCGTAAGATTAGATTACACATTTCTAGGAATTGGCCATTGAAAAAAATGCCTATTTATCTACCTACTCCGGTCTTTTGATTTCGCTGACCTAAATCTTGGCAAATGTGGTGTTAATGACAACATTAATGAAACAAATCGATGTTTCAGAAATGATTAATGTTTCCCAACTTAGGTAACTATATATTTTACCTGTCAGTCAACTAAGGTAGGTCTTAATTTGGAATGATTTACAGATCGGAATTCTTTCATTGCTCTATAATAAAAGGATTCTTAAAGTCAAGTTTTAATATCCATAAACTTATCGATAAATCTTGTATGTTTTTGGATTTTTTTACAATGATAAGTAAGTAGGGAATTGTTGTTGCTCTGAGTAAGTTATTGAAATCTGATAAGTTATCAGTGATAATAAACCATTCCCCACCTAGATACAATTAGCTTAACAACAATTTAATATTAGACGAACTAACTCCTACCTACTTAATGAGAAGTAGTAAAATCGCTTCCATGAAAAACTTTGCTATTGCTCACGCGCAGGAGTAAGCATTTATTGCTTTTTGATTGAAGAAATCCGGGCGTTTTCAAGGCGATAGTGAATAGGCACTTACAGGGCAGATATGTACCATCCTAGACTGCATCTCACTTAACACCAGGTGCGATTGCGGTCAAATACCTGCCTTGTCTAGCATAAATAAAATAAAAAAATCATATTATTTACTATCAGATCAATATCAAGTAAACAACTATGCAGTAGATAATCTTCCTATTTTTTTGTACATTTTAATTTTAATTCCTAGAAAAAAAAAACAAGTTAGGCATAGAAATGCCTAGTTTGCAATAAGGTATCTACATCAAAATGTCTTGCCCAGCCAGGACCTATATTTAGGTCGCAGTTGCGTTCTAGCCTTCACCGGTCGTCCTTGGCGCAGTCCTGCGCGCATCGTGTCGGAAAGACCACATTCCGACGCAGGCGCAGCCGCCCTAGGCAGGTGTTGCAGGTGTTGCAGCACTATAACTGGATAGTTGGAAATAGTTACGATAGGGACCAATTAAAATGCAATATAAACAAGTTCACTTAACAGTGGTACAGAAAGGCATATTTTGCTCTTTTATTTAGACTGCACCATCTTACCTAGGTACTTTAACTTTAACAAACTCTGTCTGTCAAACTCCATACAAAACACTGGTTATGGTTACGGTTAAAGTAAGATGGTGAAACTCAGTCTTATTGTCCTTTACGTTGTCTGGAAGAGAACGCTTCATAGAGACAAGACCACCTAAATTGTCTTGTGTCTTTTTCTGTATCTCTTTTTTTGTTTTGTGTAAGATAAGTTTAAATGGAGCCATCCCGAATTGAGCATAGATAAGATCTTAATAAAATACTCATCTACAGAAGAGAACCTTTTGAGCGTAAAGTTTAGTTAAACGTCAAAGGACTTCCTCTGAAGTTTTGAGGCATGAAATTAGCGTACCTAGTAATTATACGCTAATTTCATGTAGGTAAGACTTATTTTTGTTTCGTGGAGATTGTAGAAAAATCTTAGAGTTTGTTTTAAATTATAAATCCTATAGGTACCCGTCAGTATCTTAAGTGTTGATCACTTCAAGGATTCTGCAGAGTTAGTCTCAAGGTAGAAGTCGTATAGGTAAATATAAATAACATAAGACGTATTTTAAGATACTTTCCATACAATAAAATATCCGCCTCCGGCAAGGTTGGATTAGCAGTGTCAAATTCGCACATTTGAATAATTTTGATAGGTATTTTGTTGTCGACCATGAATAATTATTTAACCTTTTGCTAGCTTCTGCCCAGGGTTTGCGTTCGTGGATATTTATTTATTTCAATATGCTCATAAAACACTGTACATAAGGCGGACCTACGCCCGTTTTCACCATCAATCCCTAATTTTTAAGTGATTCCTATGGTAACATATAACAGGAATTTCGTTTTCATAGGGGTCACTTAAAAATTAGGGATTGATGGTGAAAATAGCCATTAATCTTTGCACCGTTTTCTTAGAAAAAGTTTATTTATTTAGGATTTTATACTCCTGACTTCAGAAATGGTTGATTCCTCTTATAAATAAGTCTACAAAAAGTGCTTTAATCAAAGTTATATAGAGATCCATGATGGTATAAAAATTGGGGGCCAGTTAAGGCGCAATTACAGATTAACAGACAGTGCTAATTTCTTATTAATATTATGGAAGGTAACGATTGGTATTGACTTGCCGACGTCACCTCAGAGAGACGTAGGTAATCAAATATTGGTTAAGTCAAGGTTAGGTAAATAAAGAGTTAATAACTAGGTATATTTAGCAGAAGTACAATATATTTCCTTTCATAGTTTTATCCCTACAGCAGTATCTACGTCACTACTCCTCTACGTCATATCCTCTCTGATTTGAGGAAATCGGTTTTAAACATGAAGTTTGTTTGCGAAATATAGCAGTAGACATTAGGAAAAAAAATACAAATAAAAATCTTTTATTCAGTACTAAGCCCTTTCCAGGGCGCTTGTACACGTCCCAAATATCTTGCCCTACCCTCACTTCGGGACAACATAATAATAATTATATGGGCTGGTGCTGAGAAGAAGTGGCGGAAGAAACTTTGCCAGCCTGTTTTTCAATCAAATTACAGTAAATACTTACTACTTTATAAAAATTATTAAACTTATTTTTACCAAAAGCATTATTATGATGAATTTTGAATTTATTACTTGATAAAAGATCCTATAATCACCTCCTTCAAGTTATTTACTACTATTTCTATTTATTTATATTAACCGGCAGACAGTGGTGACTGAGTTTGTTGCGGCGCTTCTTCTCAGCACTTGCCAAATGTTGGTCTCGAAGCGCTGGTAGGGTAAAAAGATTATGAGACATGTAGAGGCTCCTTAAGAGCAAAATGACGATTTGTAAGAACTATTTATTAGTCTAAACAAATAAAGAAATTTTGACTTTGACTTTATTTCTAAAAGGCTCAAATAATTCATATTTATTTAATTACATTAGATCATGATTTCAGTAAACCAAAATTCATCAAAATTGGTTCAATGAGTTATTGAAAAGTTAAGAGACCAACGATGCAAAAACTCCAATGACATTTTCCTATGCACCGCACGTTGCAAGGATGCACCTGCGCCGCTTTGGCATTTTGCTCGCGAAAGGTCCCGCGTCCCTTGGTCTATATGTCAACAGCTGATGATTTGCAATGAGTGCATTATAAAATGCATAGGCGACATTTACCATCACTACGTACTATAATAATATTATTGTATTTGTTGACTAATGTACCTATGCTTCTATTACTAATATTATAAAGAGGGATGATCTGTATTTTTATTTGCCTGTATTGTAATAATAGTTCCGAAACTCTTAATGTGTGCTTTTTTAAAGCCTATTTGCAGAAATAAATGAATTTCATGAGTGCTTTTTATGAGTTTCTTGGACCTATTTAAAAATTCTTTTCTCGTCATCAATGCTTATTTTTTAATTCTTTATTTTTTTGTAAATTACCCTTTGGGCCACTACCCGTGCTAAGCCGGGGCGGGCCGCTAGTTTTATATAAAATATATACTTATTTTGCAAGATGTTTGTCATTTTAAAGGACTGTTATCGTTGCAGGACTGATAATTATGTCGATGTTTATTTGATTTTAATTCAACATAACGCTTATTTATTATCATATTTATTTATAATAATAATACTCTTATCATTATAATGATTTCTAGGTCATAATATTAACGTCTTCCTTACAGCCCCTATTCTGTGAACCTTCTTATAATACTTACTAATTATATTAATAAGTTACTAAATACTGAATTAAATAAGACAATCAAAAAAATAATATGTATTGCAGGATATTCAGTTTCAGTTAAAATAATTTAGAAAGTTTCCCTTATAGTGTATAGATAGGTATGTAGTTAAGTTCCTTTGAATATTGCAGCATTTTTAAACAAACAAAAAAATAAAGTGTTTAGGGGACATGAGGCAAACGAGCAGACGGATCACCTGATGGTAAGTGATTACCACCAGCCCTGGGAGAGTTACAGGAGCGTTGCCGGCCTTAAAAACATAATTATGTAGGGATATTGAGAAAAAACAATTTAAGTAATAAAATATTTCGTGAATGACCTATTATTTAGTAATCAAGTCCTACTTAATTACTTTCCTATAAAAATACTGACAGATAATTTCATTTGCCAAAATAGATCTGTTTAACAGAATCGGGCCCCATATGATTAATGTTTATGTAGTTAATTCTCAAGTAGGGCGTATCCTTGAGTTCATTTGGGTCAAAGTTCGATTCCAGATCAAGAGAAAATAGGGCATTCGCGGTAAATACATTACTTCGCATACAGGGTGTTAAAATATTTGCATTAAAATTTGCATACAGGGTGTAGGAAAATTATTCACATGAAAGTTTTCACAATTTTAAATGTTTTTTTATACTGCACTTCTGCATTTTAACTAGAAACATTTCTTATTACTGCAATTTCTTGGCCTAAGAGTAAAACATTAAGTTCGTTTTAAATAACTTAAAAAAACTGAATGCAATGGAAGAGCATTCGCGC